GGGTCTTACTCTTGCTCAGGCTGGTCTCAAACTCCTGAGCTCAAACAATCCGCCCACCTCGGCCTCCCAGGGTGCTGGGATTACAGGCGTGAGCCACCGTGCCCGGCCCTTTACCCACTTTTAAATTGAGTTGTTTGTTTATTTTTTGTTGTTGCATTCTAAGAGTTCTTCATATAGTCTCGATACCGGACCCTTATCAGATACGCGATTTGCAAATATTTTTTCCCATGCTGTCGGTTGCCTTTTCATTCTGCTGATTGTCTCCTTTGACGTACGGAAGTTTTAAACTTTGACGTAGCCCCGTTCGTCTAATTTCCTTTTGTTGCCTGTGCTTTTGGTGCCATATCCAAGAAATTATTGCCAATTATTTGGATTTTTAAAATTATGAGTGAAATTCATGTGCAAGTCCCTTATTTTTTATTAGATGACTTTTCTCCTTTTTTTTCTGATTTGTGAGAGCTCTCTGCATATTAAGGAAATTGGTCTTTTGTCATATAAGGTACAAATATCTTTTCCCATTTTGTTACTTGTCTTTTGACTTCATTTTTGGCCTTTCTCTGCCCTCCCCCAGAAAAGCCGTTATGAGACCTACATCCACCTCCTGGCTGTGAAAATCAAAGTGGGCTCAGACGATCTGGAGCGGATTGAGGCCCGGCTGGCTGCCCTGGAAGGGGATGACCCTTCTCTCCGGAAGACACACTCGAGCCCTGCCCTCAGCCAGGGCCATGGGCCTGTGACTGGCAGCAAAGCCACAAAGGGTGCCGCTGGGCATGATACTTAGCTGGTGTGGCTGCACAGGCCCTGGAGGCAGGCCAATGCCCCCACGGGGGTCAGTGAGCACAGTTCCAGCCGGGGGCCCACGCGGACCAGCTCCAGGCAGTTGTCGGGCAGCCAGAGGCGCGGGGAGAGCCTGTGGGCTGAGGAGATGGAGATGCCATTCACGGCACTGACCTTCCTGTATCCTGGGACACCTCTGGGCCTCAGACCCTCTCCCTGGCCCTCACTCCCTCCCCACCACAGAGCCTCATCGTGCAGGGCAGCTGTGTGCATGCTCGAGACACCGCCTCGCCGGGGGAGCTGGAGGGCTGTTGTCTTCCTAGGTCTTCCTTTTCTCACCAGGCTCCTCTCCTGTGTCCTCGTCTGCGAGGGCAGGTCTGACTCCAGGTCTCAGCGTGGAGCCCACCCCTTCTCCGCCTCCTTCCCCTGACTGAGCAGCAGCAGGTCTGCAGACCACCAGCACCATCCTCCCGTCCCTCCTCCCAGCGCCCTCTGGACCAGGCGCGGGTCTCCTGCCTCCCATCGCAATAACCGGGCCGGGCCGCTCCCGCTCAGGGCCAAGCTGACTGCACTCACGTGTGCGTCCGCCTCTCCTGCCGCCCATCGAGGCCACTGCCGCCCCCTTTTTATACAGACATAAAGGTACACAAATAAGGAGAATATGTGTGTAAGGAACCCCCTTAAAGAAGGTTTGGGAACTGATACTCGTCAGAGGATGAAGTCACATGGAGGAAGACCCGATTTCAGAGCTCCACCTGGTATGGAGGAGGCCTGCCCTGGCCTGACGCTCTGGGAGAGGAGAGGGAGAGACGCCGACCTCCCTCACCCCGTTTCTTCCCTCTGCTGGCTGACCTGGGACTTACACTGCTCTCACAGCTCATGCTTGTGGGAAGAGTAGAGCATGTGTGCACCACCCCATCTAGCCCGCGGACATCCTGGGGGGTGAGTGGGATGGGACGATGGCCCTGTTTATATTTGGGTCTTTATGATGGTGCTGCCAGGTCTCTGAGCTCCAGGGGTGACCTTTTGGACAGGAATAAAAGACACTCTGCCTTGCAAATAGCCACTCGTCAACAAGCCCAAAGATGCATGGTGGGGAAGGTTATGGAAGCCATTGATTCTTGGTCTTGGGAAAAGGTGGAATGACAAGTTATCGTTTTTAGGTTGCTATTTCTTTCATTTTTCTAGTGGATCAGAAAGGCTTAGCTGAGAACATGTATGGGAAGAATAGAGAATTTTGCCACGTGATGATCACAGATTAGCACCCTTAACCCTGCATTCCTCAGACTGACAGGTGGGTGGTGGCGGTGGCACCCTCCGTGCGGCTGTGCTGAGCAAACCTCTCTGTTGTTTAGATTACTGTAGTTTGGTCAGCAATTTGACCTCCGTGGCCACGTATTTAGTTAATAAAATAAGCCAGCCTTGCAACTAAGTACCTAACAGTTACAAGCCCTTTCGCATTTGATGCAAAGGACCTTTGAGTACGTGGAGAGAGGTAGTGATTTAAATCCAGATTATTTAAATTGGATCAGCTGAAGTGTGTTTTATAACCAAACCATCTGGCCCCTTTGTTTTGCTCAGAGGAAGTAAATGTTCATCTAAATGAAATTGAAAACGCAATGTGACAACACGAGAGAGCTCTCTGTACTTTCTCCGCGCTGCCTCAAACGTCCTTTGGTGTTCAGGGTCAGTGTCCCGCCCTCCGCGGGCGAGTGGAAAGCAGAGATGCAAGCTCTGGCAGCTGCAGGCAGATGTGCTTTCCCGAGCACTGGTTGTGCCTCCCCTCAGTAAAAACATTTTTAGTTTGCTTCCTTAATTGTATAATTATTTATTTGTAAATTATATACATGTACTACTGTACTAAAATATGTACATTATAAAACATACACAAAAATAGAAATTTAAAAAAGATGAGATGAAAATAAATCTAAATCAAAGTTCTAATATTTCTTCCTGCATTCTAATGGACGCTCATGTTCTCCCCACAATCTCTGCCTCTACATGCCCATTTTCTAGGACTTTCCAAATCCAGGGGCTGATGAGATGCAGTAAGTGGTTTGCGCCACCTGGTGGTTCTTGGAAGTGGCTGCAGGCTAAGGGATTCCTTGGAGGGGTGACCCTTGATGACAGTGTTTCTCGCGCCTTCATCCTCATTAAGTGAGAGCCATCCGTGTGCCACATGAGTGCTGGACGCTGGGTGCTGGGGACACAGTAGTGAGAAAAAGTTTGGCTAACTCCCTGTCTTCGCGGGGCTCACAGTCTAGTGGGGAGAGGGACAGGCAATGACCATTAGTGTTTGGGACTCAGAGAGGGGTTGGGGTGAGAAGCAAAAATGACCTGGCAGAGAAAAGAAAGAATTGAGGGCGTGGGGAAGAAGACCTGGACTCAGGAAGCTGTGCAAATGTCCCAAGTGTCCCAGGGAACAGAGTGGTAGTAGGAAGTTACTTAATAGGACAGCAACTCTTCCTGAAAGGCCGTACTGAAGGTTCCCCAAGGCAGAGATTTGAGAGGCAGAGTGGAGAAGGGCCTCTCTGGCCAAGCGAGTTCCCAGGTCACACCTGTGACACAAATGCAAGGATGGCATGATGAGGGAAGAGCCAGGAGCTGTATTAGGTTCTGGCCTTAGACTCTCGGCAGGTATGGCAGGTATCTTACCAGACAACGAAGGTACCAAATAGGTCATCTGAAGGTCAATGAGTTCACCAAGAGGTCATTCAGAATGAACTGAGAGTCACATAGACATTGGTGGGTTCATTTGAGTCATGGGAATGGTTTCTGACTCTCAAATTTAGAAGGAAGCACTGATGAGGAGCCCTCAGAAGGGTCAAATGAGGACACTAAGCTGGTGTCCTCATACAAAGGTCAATGGGTTCACCCAAGAGGTCATATGGAGTTAATTTGGGATCCCATAGAGGTCAGAGGTTACACAGAGGAATAACTGGCTCTCAGAATTTTAAAGCCAAGCACAAGCTCAGAGACAGCACAGGGGTCTGGATGAGATCATCCGATGGGGGCTGGCAGGGTCAGTGATTTGCAGGTTTATGCAGCATTTAGTCCTTATTTGCCTTTGTTTCTTTGTGACAGGTACTTTTTTCCAGCCCCCCAACAATGAATACAATGACTTCAGTTCTTTCTCTACTTTTCTGCATCACCTCCCCCTCATCCAGTTTTTGCCAATCTCTGGCTGTGTGATTCAAGGATGCGAGGCACAGGATATTGTCATCGCCACCATGAAATTAGCCATTTAATAGGCATCTATCATGTGCCAGAAGCAGTACGGGGTCTTTATTCACATAACCTCCACGGCAACCCTCCGAGCTAGGGATCTGCGTCACCATTTCACAGCGAGGAAACTGCGGTCTAGAGAAGTCACACAGCTAGTCAGGGGCAAGCTAGAATTCAACTCAGGCCTGTGGATGCCTGAGCCCTCAACCGCAAGCCGCTCTGTCCCTCCCAGCTGCAGGTCTCTGGCTCCACATATCCTAGGGACATTCAACAACCCCCGCTCCCCACCCCAAAGCTACGCACACGCACACCAACCACCGCAGCTCTTTGAAGACTCCCTGGTGTCTGGCTGGAACTGAACGGCTCCTGCTGCTGGGCACTGGTTTAATAAATTGGTTGATGAGGAGAAAGGCTGCTTAAGCCTCGACCTCCATCTGCCTTTTCCACACTGAAGCCACGTACTCTTCACCAGGGGCTGCAGGTTTGGACAGGCCCTGGCTCTGAGGGTTTATAAAATTGGGAAAAAGCAACACCCTGTGGGCTTCTGAGCTGCACAGCTGTGGTCCTCCTGGCAGTCAAGGGTACCCATTATGCTACCTTGCATGTCCAGACTTTGCCTATGACGTGACTGAGGCCTCAAGGGTCATCTTGCTCCGGCTGCCCCAGTGCCAACTGCACAACCCTGCTCTCCTCGCCCACCTATCCCTGGCAACTGTTGCCTCAGTCCAGCCTGGTGGATCCAGGGCAGGAACTGGGTCAGAGTTCTGAGGCTGAGTTTGAAGCAGAGTAATGTGCGTCAGTTCCTTGGCCAGGTTCCCCAGAGCCAGGGGCGACACCTGGTAAATGTTCTTGGAAGGAGGAGGAGGGCTGTCCTGGGAGCTGGGGCCAGGGAGATTGGTCACTTCCTCCCAGGGACCACCCTGGCCCTCACCAACCTCCACCACAGGTCTTTATCCTCTGACCTCCCTCGTCGCCTGGGGGCTAGGTACACACAGTCAAACAGGAGTTATTTCTGATTTTATTTGTAATATAAAAATGTTCAAGTGTCAACAGTCAGGTGTTGGGACATTTCAGGGCAGGGTTCCCGTTTGTTTCTGTTTGGGATTTTTTTTAAACAATTACCTTTTTGACAAATTAGCAGTGGACCCAGTTTTGAGGGGTGGGGAGGGCAGGGCTGGAGAGGGAGTGGAAGTCATCCGTGGGCTGGGGGCTGGGAGGCGGGCTGTGAAAAGGAAATGGTGTTACTTTATTGCTAAAAGGGGAATCGAACACACTGTCCAGTGGCTCTTCTCGGTCCCAGCGTGACCATGCATCCAATCTAAAGAATCTGAAATGCAAAGGACATGCAGGCGTAAAATAGAAAAGACGACCTGTAAACGAAGGTGCTGCAGAGGACAGAGGGGCGTCCCGGAGGCCGTGGGGGAGGAGGAGCCACGAACATTGGGCCCCTGGCAGGGCTGCCCCCTCCCTGGGCCCACGCTGTTGGGGAGACCTGTCTCTGTGCCCCCTCCCTTAAGAGCTTTGAGTAGTGGGAGGCCCTCTCCCCATTCTGGTAGCTGTCACTGGACCTTCGTCTCCCCCTGGAAGGTACCCCAGCTCTAGCTCTCAGCCTAGGATCCCGCCCTCTCCTCCCAAGGGGCCCAGAACTTCCAGACTTTGCCCGGGGTAAAGCTACTTCTGTCCTCATTTTCTTCCTGGGGGCCAACCTCACCGCCTCGCCCCCAACGGAACCCCGCAGCCTCTCCTCTCCTGGCTCTCTCGCCCCTGCCAGCTCGGGATCCTACAGTCCCCCACCCCCACCCAGACTTTTCTCCAGGAGCCCCAGGATAGCGTACAGCAAAAGGCACCACAAAATAGGTTTCTATTAAAGAGTCAAAAAATTGGCCCATCTCTCTTTTTTTTTGTTGTTTCTTTTTTTTTTCCGAAGCTGTAAATCAGGATGTTACATATAAATAGTTTCCCTATAAAAACGTCTTTGCCGTTAGCTAGTATTATAAGACAATTTTTGCTAAAATGAAAATAAAACATTTTGTTATACTTTTTTCCTTTTATAGAAAATAAAAATATTTTTATTTCTTTTTTCCTCCTTTCTCCAGTCGGCGGTCTGTGTTCTCCTCAGACAGCGGGGCGGCGCCGAGGGCGGCGCGGGCCCTAGAGGGGCGCCGAGTCCTGCGCGGCCCGCGCGGGCGGCCCGCGGCTGTGTCTGCTGCTGGCCCGCGTGCTGTGGCTGTCCAGGGAGTAGTAAGTCCTGCTGTCGGCCGCCGGGCACAGCGGCGGCGAGTCCGAGCGCAGCGCGTCGTGCGCCGCGCGCAGGCCGAGGAAGGGCGTGCTCTCGGCCGCCAGCGCCCCGTCCGCGTCGTCCGCGTCGTCGTCCGAGGCCGAAGCCGAGCCGCCGCCCGAGCCCGAGCTCAGCGACAGCGAGTCCCGCGCCGCGCGTGCGCGCTGCGCCGCCAGCCCGTTGAGGCGCGAGCGGCGCCAGCGCCGGGGCCCCGCCGACGTCCTGCGGGACGCGCCGCGCGCACGCGGCCGCGGCGGCGGCGGGGGCGCGCACTCCTGCGTGGTCTCGTACTCGTCGTCCTCCGGGATGCGGAAGGGGCTGGCGGGCAGGCTGCCCAGGCTGCCGCCCAGCGCGCAGGCCCCGCGCCGCGGCCCCGGCCCCGCCGCCGGGTAGTAGTAGCTGTCGTAGCTGCGCTGCATGTCCGCGCCCGGCCCGGGCCCGGGGCCGGGGGGCGCCGGGTGCCGCAGCAGCGGCTGCTGCTCCGCCAGGCGGTAGCTGATGGGCGCGGCCGGCGGCAGCGACACGGCGTGCGCCGAGTTGGGCGACGTGATCTCGAAAGTCGGCACCTGCGTGGCCAGCGAGTAGTGGAAGTCCACGGGCGAGAGGCGCGCGGGCGTGGTCAGGGCCGACACGTACCTGCGGGCAGAGGCAGAGGCGTGGGCCGCGGTAGGGGTAGGGGGTGCGAGGGGTGGATCCACCCGCAGCGACCTTGCCGGCCATCCCGCCTGCAAGAATGGTGGCGGCGATCCCAGTGACCTTACGCAATTTCCTTAACCTCTCCGAGCCTCAGTTTCCTTATCTGTTAAGCGGGCATAACTGCAGTGTTCATTTCATAGCGTTATTGGGATGATTCCAAAAATTTCTCAGGGGGATGGATGTCGTAGCCGAGGGCCTGACTCGTTGTAAGCCTCCAGGAATGCTCGTTTGCTGTGGGAATGCTCGAGTCATGAGTGGAGCTCAGGCACACGTACGATCTCATTTGATACAGTAACTGGCTAAGACCTTTACGCTAGTCCCACTCCACACACAGGAAACCAGGTCATTTAAGTGACTTATTCAGGGTTTACACAGCCAGGAAGAGGCAGAGCTGGGATCTGAATGGAAGCTGAACTCATACTGCCCGGTCCCAGAAGCCACTATCCCCGTTCAGGTACCCCTGTGACCTAGATTCACTGCTCCTGCAGGGACAGCTCATCCCATGGCCTGACGGCTTCAGTGAGGGAAATATTCCTTCTTACAGTGAAGTCAAAAGTCGCCTCAGGGAAGTCACTGCTCATACCCCCACAGCGCCTCAGCCCAGGGCTGACAGCTAACACCCCATAGAGGTGTCTCTGCTGTGGCTCAAGACCCCCAGTTCCTTCGCAGGTTTGCCCTTGCTGATATCTCCCAGTCTGGGTTCCAGGTACCTGTCCCTTCTTGTTCTCCACATCCCCCTGTGAGCCCATTGGTCTCCTGCCCCACCACCGTCCACCTCAGTGCAGGGACCACCCACCTCCACGCCTCTCTTCCAGACCTCACAGTGTCATACCTCACTGCTCTCGAACCAGCCCAGAGTCCCCATTCTCTAGTTCTTTCTGAATCACCTGCACTCCCCCGTTCCCTCTCCTACCTACCCATTCCCTTGTCCCGGAGCGCACCCTCCACTCCACCCTGGGCGCAGCTGTCCTTTCTCGCCATGCTCCCACCCCGCAGTCTCTTCTTCCCTCTGTGCAGTTCCCAGAGCAATCTTCAAGTCTCAGCTCCGCTTAAGGAGGCCCTTGCTGCTTGTGCACCCAGGCTCCACCTGAGCAGAAGCCCAGGGCCCTGTCCATCAGTCTGTCTGGCCCCAGCCTGCCCAGCTCCACTGCTCCCGCAGCCCACCCTGCTCCAGGCCCCTCGCTCACCACCCATGTTCTTAGATGCCTCTGTTGGAACAGCTCAAGCTGTTCCCCATGTCTGGAATGTGTTCCTTCCCCTCACTCTGCCTCTCACGTTCCTGCTACACATTTAGGAGTCCTACTGCTGTGGTTACTACTGATAACAACAGCTACACCTAGTGAGCCCCGGCTCCGTGCCGGCTACAAGGCAAAGAGCTTTGTACACGTTATCTCAGGAGGCCTTCGCCAGAACCATGTACAATGGGTTATTGTTCTCCCTGTTCTACAGCTGAGGAAACAAGGTACAGAGGTGGTCAACTTGCTGCAAATCACACAGGTGGTGGAGCTGGGCTTGGAAAGGTCGGGCTTGGAAACCTGGCTGCTTCCCAGAGCCTGCAGTCAGGCTGGGTTCTCTGCCCTGGTGTGGCATCCTGTGCTTTCCACAGGCGTTTGTGAGCTTCCATGGTTTGTCTCCATGGCCAGGAGCTCCTCTGGAGCAGGAACCAGGTGGGCCACGTCCGGACGCCCAGGCAGGCCTGCCCAGCATAGGGCCTCACGTGGAGGAGGCTATGTTGAGAGTAGGAGAAATCTGCTCCTCTGCGTCCTCCCCACTCTGGAGTTCCTAGCACCATGCACCTTCCACTGCGGTCCTCACACAGACCCTGCCTGCTGAGGGCCCCTCAAGGCTGAGCAGGGTGGGGGGCTGGCCCTTGTGATTCCTGGCTTGGAGTCAGCAAGAAGGGGGTGTCCTGGTTCTTACTGCATCCATTGCTCAGGAGCCCAACAATGCCTTGACCCGTGGGGCCTTTTTCTGATACTGCTGGGGCAGGGCCTGCGATCATTCTTGGCTCACATGCAGCCCGCACTGGTCAGCCTCCTCAAAGACAACCTCCCCTCACACTCTCTAATCTACTCAGACCCGTGTCTTTCTGTTCCTGCTGGGACATGGAGCCTCCAGCTGGTACTAGGACAGGGCAGCCATATATCCTGATTGTCTGGAACAGCCCCTGTTTGTTCCTGATGTTCCAGTGCAATTATTAATGATGTCCCCTTCTACTCTGAGAAGTATCCTAGTAGGACAATTAAATTTGGTGGTCACTCTACACCAGGGTCCACTGGCCCAGCTCTTCTCCCAGCCTGTCGTTAACATGCCGATGGCTCTGAGTAGGCCATTGAACCTTTCTGGGACCTTGTTTTCCCATCTAGAAAATGGAGATGAGGCTCTTTGGAGTGTCTCTGAGGGGCCCTAAGGGTCGGCCTTGGGTCAGTGATGCCAGCCCTCCAAGGAGGGGGCCCAGGTGAGGGGTAGGGACTGACCTCTCGCTGTGTGGGGAGTCGTGCAGGGAGTCTACAGAGTCGTGGTAGGGTGGCATGGCCGCCCTGCGCCGCTCCTCCAGGCTGTAGGCTGCTGCCCGCCGGGCCCGGGCCTCCACACACGCGGGGCTGTTGCACTTGCTGGTGCCCACCGAGGACAGCACGATGCCCGACTGGGAGTCGGAGGTCAGGCTCTCAGAACGTTCCAGGCTCCACGTGTGGCTCTCGTGTCTGGGAAAGCCAGATGGGGGTGAGGGGAGGGATCAGAGAGGGGCAGGGTGGCCCAGCAGGTATGGTCCCATGGCCCTTCCCCCCCAGCTCTTCATCCCGTCTCAAGCTCCCTCAGTTCACTGCCCTTCTCCACTCTGGGCTGATGTGGGGTACTGCACCCTAATATGGGGAGAGGGAGGGCTGGGGTCCTGTGCATGGGTGAGCTGTAACGGTCAGAGACCCCTTCCTTTCTTCCCTGCAACCAGCCTCCCCCAGCCTTGCCCCGGGGCCCCTGTCTGGGACCCTTCCACCCCCGTGATCCTTTGCCCCCTACCTCAGGAGCCCAGCCCCAGGGGCCTCCATGTGGCGGCCCTGACTATTCCATGGTGCTCCCCAGGGAGGAAAGGAGCCAACCATGCTATTTCCTGAGCTGTGTGGCCTTTGTGCTATGTGGACAGGCCTCCCCAGTTCTGGAGAGAAGGGCAGGGTGGACTGTGATTCATGTGGCAAACTCAGGAGAGGGTCTCAATGGCTGTGGATGTTTGAATGGCTGGCACATCACACCAGATAAAGTGTGGGCATCTACAAGTTTCCGTGGGGTTTGGTGGTGTCCACCTGTGGCTGGAGGTGGGTGTGGCTGTGGAGCAGTGGTGAGAAGGAGAACAGGAGTGGCTCCCAGAGAAGGTGGTCTCGGTTTCCCTCCTGATGACGTGATCTGTGGCTGGCACGTTCTTGGAGATATACTGGAACAGACAGAGAGTTGGGTAGGAGTTAGTGACGAGAGACCAGATCAACCTTCTTTCCTGGTGGGGATGGGGAAGTGATGAGCACTAAGCTCCAGGTTGGGGGTGTCCACTGGATGAGAAGCAACTTGATGTTGGGGCAGCAAGGGCCCCGGCAAATCAGTGCCCCCTTCCTTATGGAAGTGGGCAGAGCGAGGCCAGCCATCCTGGTGAGGAGGTGCCCAGCTGGCAAGGCTGGTCACAGGATGGGCTAGCTGCTGCCCTGGCCCATCCTTGCAGGGGGCACAAGAAGGCTGGCTGTCCAGGGCTCAGAGAGGGGCCGGGAATGCCACTCACATCTGCCATCTGGATCTCCTCGGGGTCCAGCCGGGGGTGGCTGGGCCCATTGGCCAAGCTCCGGTTCTGGTGGGCTGGGCACATGTTCTGCCGGAGGTGGTTGTGCATCTGCTTCCGCTGTTTTCTGCACAGGAGAAGAGTGGGTGAACCTGGCATGCTCCCCTCTCCCATAGATGAACTTGCCTGGGTGCCCTCCAGGGAAACTACTCTTCCCTGTGCCCCGGACTGCAGCGGCTACTGCTCTTCCCTGTGCTCAAGCTGCCCCTACCCCATCGCCACCACCCTGAGTCCAGGACCTAAGCGTCGTCGTGGTAATGAGCTGTGGCTCTGCCCAGGGAGTAGAAGTCCACTGCTTTCCAGCTGTGCAACCCTGTCTCCCGCTGTGGGCTCCCTGAGCCCCAGCTCCCTCCTTGCCTGCCTCCAGCCTTTCTGGCCCTACACTTACAAGACAAGGTCAGCAGGGTCTTAGATCCCACAGACGGGGCTAGCAAGAGTCAAGACCAGAGACTCAGTCCCTGAAATGGTGGCTATGTCCAAATCCTTGCTCTCCAGATATGAACAAATGTGACAAACCTATCATTTTTCTGCATGACATCACTCTACAACCTTTATTCACTCCCCATTGTCTGCAGGATAAACCCAGACTCCCCAGCTTGGCATTCAAGGCCCATACTGCCCTCTGGGTCCCAGCTATCTTTTTAGACTCATGTCCCCTTTCTTTCTGGCCCCAGCCCTCAGTCTGGGCTGCTTATGCCCTGGGGACACAGCTGACCTTCACCTGTGTGGCCTTTAGCTTGCACTATTCTACCTGAACTTCCCAGCTCTCCCTTCTGCCCATTTAGTCTCCTTGCACCGAGGTTCTGCCCCCACCTCTCCTCTGCCCGGACACATTCTCTGCCCTCTTGTTTCAGCTGCTCCCCAGGTGGGGTCAGGCAGTGCCTTTTGAGGGGTCTGTCTTTCCTGGGAATGCAGCCTTCTTCTCTGCGCCCCCCGCCCCTGGCAACGCTGCCCCCGAGCCTGCTTGTTGGACAGGCCACATGCTCCTACTCAGGTCCTCACAGTATCCTCTGAGGTACCCACTAGGGTCACTCCGGTGAGGACTCAGAGAGGTTCACTGGTGTGCTCAAGGTCACGTGGGAAATGGCAGAGCTGGATTTGAGCCCAGATTTGTCTTCTCCCAAAGCCTGTGCTCATGGCCAACCTTTGTTCAGTCCTCTGGGGCCTGTCTCGCCACCTCTGCTCCTGCTCCCTGGCCCAGCCCTTTGGTCCCACCCCTAGTTGCAGAGGCCCCTGCAGGGGTAACTGGGACACAGGAAGGTGTGGGGGGCCAAGCCAGGCACAGTGGGGTGGGGGAGGAGAGCCTTTCCTCAAAAAACCAGTCTCAAAAGTCCATCCCTTGGCGTGGCCTGGCCCAGCTGAGCGCCTGACACTCACTTGGTCTTGCAGTAGGCTACCACGCAGACGATGCCCACGACCAGCAGAGCCACACAGATGCCGGTGATGGTCAGGACCCTCTTCTGGTACAGCTCCTCAGCTTCTGCAGAGGCAGGGCCGACATGTGGGGCAGGGCCGGAGGTAGACCCCATGGGGATGGTGGTGCAGAGACCCCCCCAGCCCCCAAAGCCTCAGCCTCCCTCCAGCTTGGGTCCTGCCCAGCTCCTGTCCATCCCTTTCCTCCCCAGCCCGTCCCTTCCCCCCGCATGCTCTGGATTGCCTTCCACTTCCCCACCAACTCCCACCCACCCCTGGACCTGGTCACACACAGGTGTGAGTTTACCTTCCCAAGCCCCATGCCCGCCCAGTGCACATGAGTGGGAGAAGCACGGGAGGGGATGGAGGGGAGGGGAAGCTCCTGAGGCCATAGAGCAGGGGAGGGCCCAGCCCGGCCAGCAACCCTGCCCTGCCCACTGTGGCCTGGCAGCTGCAAAGAACCTTGGCTGGCCAAGGGCAGCTGTTCTTCGTGGCAATGAACACGTAGCCCCTGGGTAAAGGCCTGGCCCAGTCACCTCGGCTTTCCTAAGAAGGTGGAGAGTGGCTTGTTTTGGGCTGGTGGCAGCACATCAGACCCAGGTCCAGGAACAGAGACAGAGCAGGCCAGGCCCATGGAAGGGGTGTGGGGAGAAAGGCCTTTGTTTATCCCTGCAGCCTGGTCAGGGTGTGGCCCTGGTCCATTCCAGCCCTCCCATCTCTGCTTGTAAGAAGCCCACCAGTGGCAGCACAGACCCCTAGGAATCTAGGGCAGTCCTTGTGGCAAGGGACAGCTCCCACCCTTTCTGAGGAGCTGAGCTAGGCTGGGCCTCAAAGCTCTCAAGAAGGCCTGACTACCCTCTCTACCCTCTACTGCTTGGTGGGACCACCTCTACCTTCCTGAACAGAGAAAGCCAGGAGGAAGAAAAGGAAACAGGTGACAGCACTAGCCATAGTCAAAGCTATAGCCCAGGGACCCAGCCCTGCCCCATCTGCACCTGCTGGCTGCCCCTCCACGTTGCCCCTTCTCCCAGCTCAGGGATAAGTGGAGGCTGGACCCCGATGCCTTGATGGAGCCCTGGGAAATGTCCCTAACCTCTTGGGCTTGCAGCATCTCCTGTGGCAAAGGTATGCACACTAGCAAATGCCCAAGGGTACAGACCCTCCAGACACACCTACATTTATAACTATGCCAGTCTGATTCACAGACAGACACACTCACACACACATACGTGCACACACGCACAGGCCCACTGACACAGTCGGGTGGGGTCTTGGACAACTAGACCTCTGCCCCAGGTCCCCAGCTCCTGGCTTGATGCCTGCAGCCCTGGCTCCAGTTCTCATGCCCCATATACACGCCTCCACCAGTCCAGGCAGGCATCCGTCCCCATCACTCCTCTGAGACCACTCTGGTCATGGTCACCAACAACCCCATGCCGCCAAGTCCTCTGACCACCTGCTTCCCTCTTGGCTGGCTCCCTCTTTCTGGGGCCCACTCCCCTTGAGCTTTCAAACGTCTCTTCTCTCCTGGGGTTCCTCCTACTTCATCGGCTGATATCAGGCTTCTTGCTTTTCTCCACCCGCCCTCTCTCCCTTAGTGATCTCACTCAGACTCAGCCTTTACATACCATCTCTGTGCAGACTCTCAAATGAGTATGTCCTGCCCTGACTTCTTCCTGCACTCCAGACTCATGTATCCAAGGGCCATGGCTGAACAGAAGCACTGCTTCCCTATCCTCTCTCCTCACCGCTCCCCTACTCTTCCCAGCTCAAGAGGACACACCACTATCCCTGCTGCTCAGGCCCGAGACCTTGGAATCATTCTTGATCACTCCTTTTCTTCCCACCTACCCTGGTACCTGATCCATCTGCAAGTCCTCTCAGCTTTACCTTCCAAGTAGACCCTGGATCTGACCGTGTCTTACCATTTCCACGGCTTCCAACTCAGTCCGGGATGATGTCACCTCTCAGCTGGAGATGGTCACCTTCTTATGGGCCTTTCTGCTTCCACTCCTCTCTACCTTGCCCCTAGCCCCAGGCTACTGTCCACCCAAAACTACATTTATTTATAGCCATAAAGTAGATCATCTTACTCCCCTGCTTAGAAACACACAGTGGCTTCCCACTGCAATTCAGATACAACCTAAAGCCTGCCACGGCCTCTAAAGCCCCAGATTAGCTGGTCCCAGCCTGCCTTTTGTATCTCATCCATGATCCACTCCCCCATGTCCACTGTGCTGTGCAGTCGCTGGCAGTCTGTCTGTCCATGGAACAGGGCAAGCCCACTCCAACCACGTGGTCCCCATGCCTGCAGGGCTCTTGTCTGCATAGTCTCCCTGGTCATTTGCAGGGGCAGCGGCAGACAGACACAGGTGACAAATGTCACCTCCATGACCCCTGGGCTACAGTAGCTCCCCACTCCAGCTAGCACTATCCTATTACCTCATTTTACTTTCTGTACCACATTTATGACCACCTGACATCTTCCCTGTTTGTCTGTTCTCTGTCATACCCGTGAACGTGAGTGCCAAGAGGGCACGGACTCTGTGTCTGGTAGAATCTGGTGCTGAGCAGACGTTTGTTGCACTGGTGAGTGAATACACAGACCACCTTTACAGACACACACACACCCTACACTCACACTCACATCCACACACGGCTCCACCTGCACAAGCTCAATGCTTAACACAAAGATGCTCCACACTCCCCACCACGCACTCGCATCCTGCCCTGAGAGACCTCACAGGTGTACATATTTTCACCCCGCAACAGCATACCTACACACATACCTGCAGATCCACCCCCGCATGCCCTGCCACGATCCCAGACCCCACACAGCCTCAACACCTGTCCTCTCTGTCCTGCCACAGTCGGCAGACATAGGCAGATATACTCTTATGCACAGACTCTAAGCTCTATATTCTATGGAGGACAGCAGATGGGAGTAGGTAGCGGGGAACTAAGGCCTCCCCAAACCAGCCATGAGAACAGCCTTTTGTAACTGCAGGCTCTGCACCACGTCTGAGATCCCACCCCACAAAAGCTTCTGCCCTCTGAGCCCCTGTGTCTCTCCCGCTGTGATACGTCTGGACACTTGAGGCTGGGAGGAGCCTCTCAGACAGCTGGAAACACCAACGCCTCAAAGTCCCTTCCAGCCCAAGAAGTCTTCCAGCGGCCAGAGGGCAGTAGCAGCAGGTGGCGGGGGAGGCATGTATAAGATTCTGAGCTGGGGGACAAGAGGCAGGCACCAGAGGCCAGCCCAACCCAGACCCTTGCTGGTCTTGCACACAGATTCACATGTGCCTTCGTGGGGACAGGTCATGGAGGGAGTGACAGCTTCAAGCAGATGGCAAAGCCTGGCAGACAGACACAGGGCAGGGGCAGAGACAGACAGGGAGTTAGCAGCTACGAGCCTGGTGCAGAATGAAAAGCGATGGAAATGGACATGGGAGAAGGAGAGAGGACCGAATTCAGATGCAAAGGGATGCCTCTCTGCACAACACTCCGAACCAGGCTTCTGTGGTTTCCTGACACTGGCCCTTTGCGGGACCATGTTCACACGTGGGGCCCGTCTCTTGTCTGGCTGCCTGCTGGGCTACACACAGCTCAGGAGGGGCCCCTGTCCTCTGAGGCCTCCTGGCGATAGATGTCCCCTATGCAAGGGGGCGCCACTGTAAACTGGGGCCACAGTGTGACCCCTGGGGTACGCTGCTATTCATGAGCTTCTCTTGTCTCCCCCCAAATCAACATAGTTTGTGATAGGACATCTTGATGGGGCCAGGGGAGAGTTTTGGAACCACCCCTTTTCCATTTTTTGGAAAGGAAACCAAACATTCGGCACACAAGGTGTCAGAGGCCGTGGAGAGGGGCTGTGCAGATGGCGCTGAGTGACACACAGAGGTTCCATACCCTTCAATTCAAATCCAAGGTGCTCTGGCAGTGCAGAAGAGAGGAGGGGCAGAGAGGGAAGGGGTGGAGGCAGAGGTACAGGTAGAGAGAAATGGGACGGGGCGGGGGAGAGAGAGACAGAAACGTTGGTCAGGACTCCTCAGACCCCGGCAGCCAGCCTGTGAGGTGAAAGCAGGTTAGTAGTGTCCCCTCCCAGCCTCCTGAGCTCCATCCCTGGCACCCAGTCCCCGAGAGCCCCAACAAGGGCAGAGAGAGGAAATGTTAGAATCAGCAGGCAGGATGGGTTCTTTCGAGATGAACTGTGGGGTTAGTACCTGGTGGGGAGGCAGAGGCGCAAGAGTCAGTCGGCAAATGTCCCCTGGGAGGAAAGGGTGAGTGGGTTCGGGGGTCTGAGAGCCCCCTTCTCTTCCTCCCGGTGTCAGCACCAGGCCTGCGGCGCCCTCCTGCAGACAGCGTGTCCAGCCCCTAGCTCACTCGTGGGGCCCTTTTTTCTGTTCAGAACGAGGGCATGAGGTCCCCAGAGCAGCCCCGTGTCTCTGCCCTGCCCCACGGGCCTAGCTGGCCTGCGCAGCTACCTGCAGCCTGGGCAGGGAGCCTCCAAGCCTGTGGGGGAGCAGGAGCGGGGACAGGGGGAGGCTCCAGGCAGCGGGTCACTTCTCCACTCGACACCCTAGAAGGCTACAGGGCTGGGCCATGGTGCCCGAGCCCGGTTTTACTGCTTAGCACAGTGAACTGCAGCTCAGACGAAGAGGCGAGTGGGTTCACTGTGGAACACCTGAGCTCCTCGAGCGGTGGGCAAATTACAGTCTTGGAACTGGGATCATGTTATGAATTTCAGGGCCCTGCGAGGTAGACACCTATGCCATTGAGGGGTGAGATAAAAGGGCCCTGACTCAAGGGTCGGCTCTGCCCCTGACCTGCTGTGCGACCCTGAGTGATACCCAACTTAGAGAGGTCTCAGTCTCTGTGTGTCGAACAGGGATCAGGCCTGGTCATGGGATCCTGGGGGCTTTGCAAACCTGGCTGAGCTTCCGAATCAGCCAGACCAATAGAATCAGGTTCTGGGGCGGGACCTCAGAAATCTCAACCGTGTTTTTAAAAAGCTCACTGACCATTCTAACGTAGCAGCCAGCACCTGTCTGCAGGCCTCGAGTCTCAGTTTGGTCCCTAATTTGCTATGCGGATGTGAGTAAGTCACAGTTTCTGTTTCCCCGTCTGTCCTTCGAGCCTGCGCGCAGCTACAGGAAGATGCGGCGGGCCTGGACAGCACGAGCGCAGCACGTGTGCCAGGGTCCCGCTCCCGCCCAGTCTGGACCCGCTCACTCTCTGGCTTCCCTGTCGGCACCATCAGCTCCGCTAGATCCATAGAGCGTGTGAAATTGTGCCTGATGCTCTCATCTGCCACAGGAGGAGGAGAGCGTGGGGCAGTCAGCAGGAAGTCCTGTGCACTACCCGCCCCTAGATCTCTCGTCTGCTTCCTAATAGGGATTCCAGAAGGTTCTGCGTTTGGAAAAGGGCATGAGAGCAGCGTACTCTGAGCCAGGGACTAAGATGGCTCTGACCGAAAGAGCCTTGAGGAAGATCCGGGGGCTCTGACCCCCGGTTCCATGCAGAGACCACACGAACGAAGCATTAATCCCAGCCTTTCCGAACAAGCCCTTCTTGCACTCCTGTTAAGCCCAAGTGATCTGGAATTTTTGGTTTCTTTTCAGTTTTACTCTGACTTCTTGGAGGTAGGAAAAAGTTGCCATAAGTACAGTCTGTCCATTCTGTTCCAGGCTCTCGCAGGGCTGGCGAGTTGTGCTGAGCAGACAGTACACACTTTATAATTCTCAAAGGGCCTAGGGCAGTTCTTACTGAGTAGTTAATCCTGTGACCCAGGGACCCTTCAGGCAGCTGTAGGGAGCTCACGTGGTTTGGATATCCAGCCATGCTTCCCTGAGAGAGTGCAGCCCAGCTTGACCACAGCACCTGGGACACTAAGGGGACTGGGTCCATAGAGCTGGGCTGTGCCCCACTTTTGGACAAGGTGTTGTATTAGATGAGGCAGCTGGGGCCCAGTGGTGCTAGCACACTTTCCCAAGGTCACCCAGCAAATTAGGAGGCAGAAGGGCTGGAGGCCAGGTCTCTGGTCCGCTGGGGCTAAGCCATGGCTATGCCTGCTCATTGAGTCTCTGGACAGGCTTGGGGACAGTGGCCATCTGGAGAAGTGAGCAGGGATCCCAAAGCCTTAAGAGTTTTCTTTTGTGTCATTCCTCTGGGAATCAAATAGTAGCAGCAGCAGCAGCAGCTTCTGGAGCCCCTGACTGGCCTCCTCTTTGAGTCAAAGGCCAGTGGTGGCTGCCATGATTGGCAAGGTCACTGAGGGCTTGGCCAGTCACCAGGTAGGCAGCTGTCTCAGTGGGAAGCATGGGTTGGATTCTGAGGGGCCTATGGCCGTGTCTGCCTCAGCTAAGTAAACAGTTTCCCACTCATTATGTTCATGGGCTGCCACTCAGCCAGAATGGGGTGGCACCACTAAGTCACAGGAAGGTCCTATTAGCCAGAAATTTGTATATTGACTAGTAACTATGGCAACCTGATGCCAGACTCCCTGTAGGGCCAGGCTTACGAGACAATATGCAAAGTCTTCATCCTGCACGCGTGCCGTGACACACAATGATAGGGTGCCTAGGCAAGGAGGCAGCGAGGTGCGTGCAGGTATGAGCACGTGCTTGTGGTCTGCTCGTGTGTGCAGGTGTGTAAGCACGTGCTTGTGTATCTTTGTCTGCACGTGCAGGCACGTGTGCTCTTTCACATGGCGGCGTACAGATGTACAAGCTTTAACTCTTGGGGAGTGGAGGAGCTGTCAGTGGAAAAAAGAGAAGCCTCAAAGTGCTATTGTGGCCACAGGCCCTGTTCCCTTGGTCTCTGCAAAACATAACCTGGTCTAGATGCCGTCTGGGCAGGCTGCAAAGATCAGGGAGTCAGGCTCTCGGGGTGGTGCTGCCCCCACGTGCCCGTTAGAACTGGGAGAGGCCCGGGATCCAGCAGCAACAGCAGGCTTCCTGCTGAGCCCTTCACAGGCAGCACTTCGTTCCATCCACACAGCAACGCTACAGGCATAAGCGCTGCCTACTCCATTTTACAGAAGGGAAAACAAATGCAGAGAGGTAAAAGGAGGCCCCAGAACTAGTAAGCTCAGCGGCCAGCATTTTTATTCAGGTCTATTTGAATCCGAAGCCAGAACACTTAACTAGCACTTTACACTACCTTTTCAGCAATCATCCGCTAGAGCAGTGCATGAAGTGCTCTCTGGGAAAGTGCTTGAAGAACGCAAGTCCTCTACAGAAAGGGAGCAGTTGTGATACTGGTGACACTAGGCAGGAAGGCCTGCGCTGCCTGTGCCGGCTCTTTTCTGGGCTCCCGAGGCCCTGCTCACCCGCCCAGCAGAGCTGAGCTGAAAGCGGAAGTAGCCCAGCTGGCAGGGAGGCCCTGGACAACGGCCCGAGCTCCCGAGGCTCTGCTGCTCTGATTCAGGACAGGCCGGGACTCCCTGTCCAGAACAGTCCCATGAGCCCAGGAGGCTCTCGGCAGGAAGGAATATGACCCCACTGCCCCTCCCACCTGCCCGTGGCTGTGCCTGGCTGCTCTGCCTCCACCTGAAGTCCCTCCTGCTCTATAATCCTCCACATGGGGCTGAACACGACTCTGAAATTCTTCCGGAGCCTGGGTTCTAGAGAATTCTGTTGGGTCACACGTCCCATCCATAAGCTCTGCCTTTATCACCGTAGTCTTCCTCCCTGGCCTCTGCCAACAGAGGGGCCTGGCAAGAGTGCTGCCTCCCACACTTTACTAAGACAGTTGGCCCTCTGGGCTGACCAGTCCCCACCCGCTGGGGCCTCTACCCCCCTGCTGGGTTGGGTTGGGAGTAACTTCTGGGCTTTTCTTTTTTTTTGAGACAGAGTCTCACCCTGTTGCCTGGAGTAGAGTGCTGTGGCATCAGCCTAGCTCACAGCGACCTCAAACTCCTGGGCTCAAGCAATCCTCCTGCCTCAGCCTCCCGAGTAGCTGGGACTACAGATATGTGCCACCATGCCCGGCTAATTTTTTCTATATATTTTTAGTTGTCCAAATAATTTCTTTCTATTTTTAGTAGAGATGGGGTCTTGCTCTTGCTCAGGCTGGTCTCGAACTCCTGATCTTGAGCGATCCACCGGCCTCAGCCTCCCAGAGTGCTAGGATTACAGGCGTGAGCCACCACGCCCGGCCCCACTTCCGGGCTTTTATGCTGTGATCTGAGGAGGGCCGGGAAAGGCTGAGTTATCCTCCCTGAGACCCAGGTCCCAAACTCCTTTTCTCTGAGGGCTACCTAAATGGCCCCCTGGGCCCCGCCTGCAGCATTTTCCTGGGTTCTACGTCCTAACATCCAGGTACCACCTGCACACTCCGTTTCCTAACTCCTCATGGGACCCAGCTGTCCTCCCTAGGGAGGAGGAGGTGGCGGGTGGGCTGGACAGGGGCCTAGCTTTTCTGCAGGATGGGATGGGTGACAAGGGACAGGCCTTGCAGACCAATAGACCACAAGGCCCCAGACGGAATCTACTGCCGGCCAGTGGCTTTTTGCTCTGCTGTACCTCCACCTGGTGGTACTCGATGGAACTGCTCCCAGGCCCCAAGTAAAACACTCCACAATTACGGCTGCGTCCTGGGTCACAGGGCTCATTTTTTTTTTCCTTAGCAAACTGTGTAAACCATAAAGCTCCAACCTCAGAAGTGGAAGTAAAGAAGGGAATGAAATCCTAGATAGGTATTAAGACCAGAGAGGTCCTGGAGAGAGTCACCAATTATCCCTTGAGTCCTCATTCCCTCTGTCTTTTAGCATCTGCAGCACTCCCCGCCCCCGCCCCATCCTGTAGCCACATAAATGTCGCTGGTATCCATGGAAACCATTGCCCTGGGTCCTGCTCTCCCTCAATCCCCCTTCCTCTCACCCCGCATTTCCAAACCTGAAAACAAGCAAACTCTGGCCAGACTGGAAGACAGATTTTCTGAGAACTTCTTTTTCTCTCTCTCAAACACACCAGCACACACAGGCACACACTCACTGCCTGGCCCCATCAGCAGCCTGGCACCCTCAAACAGCCTTCGGAGGCAGGTGAAGGTTCTGCCAACGCTTCTTCCCCCTCTGGCCAGGCTGCCTGAGCCCAGAAGTGGGGAGGAGGCCTGAGCGTGGCCCCGACTGCTGCGGAGAGAACCCAGCATTGCTGTGCCCAGGCCGTACAGCCGATGTACGGAGGTGGGGGTGCCAGGGGGTGTATCGGTCTCCTCCGCACAGGCTTCTGGTGAGCACTGAGGGCTGAGAGGAGCCCAGGACACTCCCTACGTCCCCCCCAGTCTTGCTAAGCAAGGCCCCATCCCTCCCGCAGGGGAAGACTGTCAGTCACCAGGGAAGAGAAGAAATAGAAGAAAGAGACATACTGGAGAAGTTGACCATTGCGAACTGCTGACACCTGTCCCCGGTGTATCCCACAGGACACCTACCAAAAGAAAGAAAACCAGAAAGAGAGAGCCAGGATAGCAAGACACAGGCATTGCAACACCCCGGCACGGGCTCCTGCCAATGCCAGCTGGGTTCCTTGCCACCGTTACCATTTGTACTGGCTTTGCCACTCTGCCCCTTACCTGTAGCCCTGAACTTTAAACCCAAAGATTAGGCCAAAAATGAAAAACAAAGCAAAACAAAACAAAACAAAAGAACTAACAAACCAAAATACAAAAAAGAAAAGAGAAACAAAACAAAACAGCCAAAGATCAAAACAACCAACACCCCTGGCCCTATGCCCTACATTGGGGGGACTGCACCCGAAAGCTTTCTAAGGAGCAGGGACTTGTGTTTGTATCTTCAAACATACTTTGCTTAGGATCTGGCATGTACAATCGCAAAGGCAGTTTCTCCAAACATCTCTGTCCGAAGAATCCGTTTGGACATCTGGAGAAGGAAAAGGGGAAAAATCACAGAACAAACTGGCATCATCCACGAGGCTAAGGTTAGAAATCAAAGTGCACAGTGATGAATGAGAAAAACCAAGTCAGGCACTTGGGGTCACACTCGTAGCTGAAGGGGCTGGAGTCGGGGCTGGGTGGAGGGCTCGGAAATCCTTAAACATCTCTCTAATAGATGTGGCTCCGTGGGTGGCAGGGAAGGCGGGGTGGGGCAGGGAGGAGGATGATTTAGGGAAGTGGGGTGGGGGAAGATGGGAAGCTACTGACTAATTGTCCTACTGGTCACTGAGACTTTCCTTCTTACCTGCCTGTGCCCCATGAAGCCAGAGCTGTAGCCCCTTTGTGCCAGGCAGTCAGCTGGCAGGGTGCTGGGGGCCTTAAGGAATACCAAGCTCTTGGGAGCCACTCCTCCCAGGCCCTACGGAAGGATTGTCTCCTTGGCCCCGGGCAGGTTTTCTCATCCATGAAACAGCCCCCAGAAAGCTCAGAGAACTCTGGATTGCTGTTCCTAGCCTGTGTGTCCGTGACAATAGCGACCTAGGAGGTGTTTTATCTATTCTCTCAAAGAGGGTTCTGTGGCCAAATAAGTTTAGGAAATCCACTCCCAGGGCTCCTGGTAGAGCTGTAGCGCACATTAGCATATGAAAGGCTGTAAAAAGTTTTATAGGAGGAAATAGCTGAACTTTCCAGTGTGTCCTAAATTTATTTGACCATGGAAGTTGTTTTTAAAGAACCCTCATAGAACACGGTTTGGGAAGGCTGCCCTAGAGCGATTTATGTGGGAAAAGCTTAGTAGGGAAAGAGAAAAGAGCAGCATCCCAAAGCTGGCCCTCCTGATACCGGGTGCAGGGACTGTGACCTTAGGTGGCAAGAATCACAATGGAGGCTGCAGCAGGCTCACAGGGGGACCCTGGAAGCCTGTTCCAATTCTGGGGCCTACTGGCAGCCAGCCTGGGAAACGCTGCCACTTCCCCGGGACCTGCTCCTATACCGCTGCCTGACTGCCCTGGGTCTCGTTCTCCCCTCGGGCCTAGCCTATGCCCCGAAGCACCCCTGCTCTCATCTTCCTGACCTTGTCCTTACCCACAAGGTGCACTTCCTTCTGCTCTCTGGCTGCCACCTCTCTCCTCAAGTGAATCTCAGTCTCGCAGATCTCTGGGAGACATGCCCAGCCCTGTACTCTCTTCTGAACCCCAGCAAGGCCAGAGACCTAAGGAGAAGCTTACAGACAGGGATAGACTGACCCCTTGCCCACATCTCCCTGCTCAGAGATGGGTCTCCATTGCCTCTGCTTCTTCTTCCTTAGGAAATCAGGTAAGCCCATCACCAGTGTTGCCCTCGGTAATAGGCTACTGTTCAACAATAATCAATCTAAACTTCCTCAAGAGGTCAGTGTTCTCTACCTCATAGCATTCCAGCATATACCATCAGTCAGCCCTTGGGCTTCTAGTGGGCGGTGGCCATTGGCTGTGATAGATACTCATGAAAACCCTGTGGCCTCAGATCTAGAGAAGTGGGGGATGGGAGTGGTGGGTGAGCAGGGAGTTGGAGTTTCTCTGGGCCTCAGCGGCCTCTCCCCCAGGGGAGGCAGGAGGTTGGTCCTGGTTGTGGTGGGAGTGTGCGTGCGCTGTGCCTGGGCGGTGGGGGGTGCAGGCGGGCTGGGGAGTGTACTGGGAAAGTGGTGGGGGTGGGCGGCTGCATGCTCATCCTGTTGAACAGGGTGGCGTGGAGGAGGAGGTTACCATCAGTCCCTTGTGCATATATCCTTCTCTGATCCCTGGCCCTCATCCCTAATCATCCCAGCCCAGGAAAATGGAAGTAGTGGCTAAAGCTTCCCAACCACTCCAGCCAGGCTCAGCTCTTCTTCCCCAGCTCTTGGAAAGTGATACCCACTTGGGATGGGGACTTGGGGGGAGAAGTGATTTTTCAAACAGAAGTGCCTTTAGGGGTGGAGGATAAAGACCCAGGAAGTTGCCAAAATGACTCTTGGAATCCATGAAGGAACAAGAAAGAGATAGATTTGTGTGTGTCCAGTGTCTGAGATCAGCCTGGCTCTTGGAGGAAGGCACACCTGTGTATGAGTGTGTATGAGTGTGTGTAAGAGAGAGTATGGGGGAGTGCAGGGGCAAGAGGGGACAAAGGGAAATTTATTCCCATTGCTGACAAGCCGGGCTGCTGTCCCATGACTCTTGGACCAAGGATAACTAAACACGTGTGAGTCCCTGCTCCCACACCCAGCCTGGACTACCCTGACTGCATCCTCGTCTCTTTCATGGCCACTGAGTTGCACAACTCCAGGTGGCGCCATTGACACAGTCTACAACACGAATGTGCCCCTGGAGTTATGCAACATTATGGTCCTACCCTTCCTGTCTTGAGAAAGTGTGCTCCCCGTGGGCTGAACAAAAGAGAGGGCACTGGGGGATGGCATGGGGTGGGGTGCAGAGGACGGATAGTCGGTGCTGTTCTGTGGGGCACTGCTCCTTCAGGGCTCCTGGACATTCCTAGTTCTCTCCTTAGTCCCACTTGTTGAGGATGGGCCATATCCAGGAGGCTGGCACTTCCCTAGAGAAGGCTTTGGGAGTGAGCTGGGCTACAGCTTCTCTAACCTGCACCCAAGACCAGGGTAGGAGGGTACAGGGTACGGTACCTTAACCTAGCAACCAAGATGGGAGTCTGGGATTGAGCAACCAGGGATTGAGCCTCTGAATTTCAGGGGCACAGAGGATAGATTAGAAGGAGCAGCAGGTAACAGCCTTCCCAGCCCTTCCCACCAGGTCATCAGCTACGACTCTGGGAAGGTCTGTCCCCAGGGCTGGAGAAGAGCAGGGTGAGAAAGGGGCAGAGAGGAGAACCCATGGGCTGTATCTGGGGTGACAGAAAGGTCAGGACCTCTGCCTTCCCCTTTTCCCACCCCACCTCCCGGGCCTCAGTTTCTCCTTTTGGTAGCCTGGGGATAATGCCATGTGTGCTGCCCTCACCCGGGGAGGGGGAGGATGGAGGATGAAGGCGTGCCCCAGGCACTGGAGGGGTGAGGGTCTCTGAGCTCATGAGGGGTGGCGATGCGGTGGGGATGAGCAGGCAGGTAGATGGCTGTGGGACGGGGGACCGCCTGGACATGGAGGGCGGGGTGGGGATGAGCTGATGGGGGGAGGCATGCCACTGGTATGTGCACAGGGCTGGAAAGAGAGTCTTGTTCTGTCATCATCCCCTGAACCAGTCCCCAAGAGTCACGCACCAACTGTGCTCTGCAAACACACGGAGAGAAGAGGAGAAAGCAGCAAGAGGGAGTGCAGAGGCCCCTGTCTGGCCCAGACAGGGGACAGTCACCTTGATTTGGACTCCCATTTTCAAATCCCCCTAAGTTTTCTTTTTTAAAACAAAATTCAGTATCAGTGACACTGTTTCTTTTGGCACTGAATTCCAGAAAAACAGGAGGGACGAGCGTGCCTGTTTTCCAACACTCCCTGCAGGACTCTGAACCAATACACAACAACAAGTGTAAGAAAACCAGGAAGGAAAACTGAGTTTTATAGAAACTGGAATGAAACTGACCAGTGTAGTTTCATTATCCAAGCTAAGCGGAAATGCAAAAAAATCAAAATAAAAAGTAAACAAACAGCACAAATGGTAAGACGTGAGTTCCATTTCCTAAGTTCTTTCCTTTTTATTCCGTTCAGGTGTCATCAGGAACCCCAAGAGGCCTTCCCCCCTTCCCTCCCAGCTCACCCACCCCCAGAATGGCCTCTGGGCTCTGCCCTGCCCCCCTCCCCCCTGCCCTTCTCCAGCACAGCTCTGAGGACCTGCATCCCCACCAGGGATGTCCCTCTCCCCTGAGGGCTGACAAGGGGAGTCAGGGAAGTCAGTTTCAGGAGCCCTGGCTGGACCCGGAGGGAGGGGGTTGAGATGGGGCGGTGGTGGCTCTGGGACCAAGTTCGAGTTCTAAGCAGCGAAGCCCAGTTGCCCGGGGGGCTGAGGGGAAACAGGGTACCACCTTCATAGTAGCTCAGGCTCCTGCCCTCTGCTCCTCTCAGGTTTAGCTGGGCAGGACCCACGGGCCCTAGGGGTGCGGCCTTGCTGGCCGGGCCCTCTGGGAGCCACGTATCACATCGCCCCCTTTCCCACACTGAACTCCAAGCCCAGCACTGGAGCCCTGGGCCTCCACAGCCCTCAGCCCTGGCACCTGTCCTGGGGCTGGGGCGAGACCGTCCCTGCCTGGAGCCAGGGCTCACTTCTGTAGCAATGCTGGCTTTCCTTCAAGGGTCCAAAGGGCTAGGGAAAAGGAGAGGCCTGGTGTGAGTGTGTGGAGGACAAGAAAAGGGGGTACAGGGCTGGGCTGTCCCTGTGAGGTATCCAGTACTCTTATGAGTTTCTAGTAGATCTAGATTCCAAAGAGCTCAGAGCATTTTCAAGGCTAGGATGTTCCCTAGGGTCTGCGACACTCACGTGGCAGCATCCTAGAGGCAGAAGGGGCGGGGGATGAAGGGCTGAGTCTGGGCTGAGAACTTCCCTGGTGGACCTGCTGTCGCTGTTGGGACTGTCTCCTGAGATTCAGGATGGGGGAGGACGGGAAGGGGAGGGCAGCAGGTGAAGGGCAGGGCTGGGGAGGATGCCAGCGAGGGAGGCCAGCTGGGGCAAGAGCCACAGTTCTGCCTGGTGGTACAGGCCAAGCTACCCCTGCACGGGGCGAGTGTGAAGGAGGCATGGCTCCGGCCCTCGTTAGCACGTCAGAGGGAGGGGTCTTTGAAAGTCCTGGCCTCCTTACCAGGCTCCAGTCCCGGGAAAGGCAATGGCCAAGGAGGGGTGCAGATCTGGAGTCGAAGGCCAGAGGCAGGGCAGCCAAGAAGTGCTGAGTCTGACCTTGCCTGTGGAGAGGTCAAACACCTCTCTCTGACTCTGCATCAGGACTTTGGTGACCTTTGCCCAGATGCCATGGGAATGGGGCAGCTTTGGCACCTTGCCAGGGCTCTAGGCTTGGGCTGCTTTGAAAAACCAAAGTTGTTAACTAGGCCCCCCTCCTCCTCCTTCCCAAGATCTGGCCAGAGCCTGTGCTGCCCTCCCCCTCCTCACACACCTACTAGAGGCTCTGTCGAGGGGGCTCTGTGGGCCCAGCTGCCTAGGAGATCTGGCTGGACCTGAACAAGCCCGCCCTGATGGCCTTGCTCCCGCCTGCCCTGTTTGCTGTGGGGAGTGGGTGGTTCTGAGCTCCCTGGAGTTCCTGCCTGGCTGGTGAGCAGGCTCTGGCCCTTGCGGAGGCAGAGAGGCCCCAACTTGAGCCTGTCCTCCACCGCAACTCCCACTGGGCCACAGCCAGAATGGGATCCTTGCTGGTGTCCCCACCCCATGGAGGGGGGTTAGGGGCTTAAGGGGCACAGGCAGCAGCCGGGGCATATTTGGACAATGGGCTCCTGTAGGGCAGGAAGAGCAGCCAGATCCCGAGGTCGGTACTGGGTTCTGGGCAGATCCTTCTTTTCTTCTCAAGTCTACAGGAGCAGGACTCTCAGCTGCCAAGGGCTCTGGAACCTATGCTCTGCCTGAGCCTGCCAGGCTCCTCACTGCTGAGGAAGATGCAGCCTGGCACGTGTTCCTCAAGAACAAAGTCTGGAGAGTTGCTGAGAGGTGGGGAGGGAAGGAGGTGGGGTAGAGGGCGGGGAGAGAGAGAGAAAGAGAGAGAGAGAGGGAGAGAACCCAGTGCCCCAGTGCCTAGAGCGTAGGTAAACTGGCATCCCCATCTCCTTAAAGGGTGTTGGGGAAAGGGTAGACATCAGGAGACGGGGCGGTGGGGGCCTGGGAAACTGGGACAGCAGAAGCCCCTGTGCCCCTTAGAGCTTACACCTCCCTATATGCCAGGAAAGGGCCAGGAAGTGGGGCAAACCTCCCCGTCTATACCCCTTGGGGACCCCTTGTCAGCGGCTTGAAGCTGCCTTTCCTAGAGCCCTCCACTTCTGCCCCAGCATCTCCCACCCTACTCTTGCCCCATGCCCACCCCCACTGGTCACTTACTTGCAGGAGAGCTGGTTGATGCCTTCAATGTAGTAACAGACGCCTCCATTGACACAATAGGACTTGGCTGTCTCGTTGCACTTCCGGGCATGTCCCGACCAGGATGACAGGGTGGTACTCACTGGGGGTATGAGAGACACGTGCCAGTGACCCACTGAGACCACCTCTGGGCCCCAGGACTCATAGTCTTCATGGCCCTTCATGTCCCATCTCAAAACTGGAAGACCACCAGAGACTGCAGGAATGACCAGGGAGGGAAGGTCTGGTGGTCCCTCCCAGTCTCCAACAAGGCAAATGGGAGGCCACCATGCGGTCTGCCCATCTGCCCAGTGTGGCCCTGCACCCATGCTCTGGCCAAACCTCCAAAGGCCAGGAAGATTTTCTTTTTTTGGAGAGAGTGAAAAGATAGCAAAAACTGCTTCCTCTGCTGGAATAAGGGCTCACCTCTCCCCTCCCCTGCCTGTTTTCTGGGGGATGCACTGTGGGTGGATGAGGTGCTGATGTCTAATGCAGGGAACAGGAGGTGGTGCAGAGAGGAGACACCTCCACCTGTCTGCACTGCTTGCACTCTCCCAGTGGACCAGGGAGTGGCTGGAAGGGAGCTGGGCTTTCACGGGAATGATACCTTTTAAACACTGTCATTTTCTAAGATCTGGGAAGATATACGGGAACCCTAGCTTCTACTCATTCCCCTCTTTCTCCCAGGGCTGGGCTGGCTATGAAGGCCACTATGCGCTGTCTCCATAAGCACCCAAGGTGTCCCACATCCCCTGACACCAGGCAAGCCCCTTCCTCTCCCACCTAGTCTGCTGTTGCCTCTGGAGGGAGCCTCCAGGCCTTGGACAGCCCAGGCTGTAAATCACGGGGTTCAGGTTGCTGGGGAGGAGAGAGGGTGCGGAGGGGCGGGGGCAGCTGGGATGTGGAGCTGGCGGAGAGTGAGACTGGATTATGGCTGCTCATCCAGACTACACATCTGATTGATCAGATTCACTTGAGAAATGAAAATAATGAAAGCTCTGTGCCCCCGTTAGGAGATGGCATCCAGAAAGCTGGTTTCAAGGGAAAATTCTGACCCCAGACATCAGTTTTCACGTGTAAGATGACACCCAGCCTGTTTTACCCAGATTGGACAGCCAGAAACAGGTCTCCGCTCCCTCATCTCTCTGGGCCTCCTACCCAGCACTGGCCTCCTGACCGAGGTGGCCCATCCTACCTTGGCTGGCCCTGTCTCCTCAGGATGTTAAGTCTCTGTCACTCCCCTCAGTGACGGGGGGAGGTGAGAGGAGGAGGAGGAGGGCAGGCACTTGGCGCCCTCAGTGTTTAGACGTGCGGGGAGACAGATGGAGCGTGGGGGACTGCGAGTGTATACAGAGCTCTGGTCTGTGTATGTCGGAGGAGCTCGCTGATAAAACCCAGCGGGCAGGGCCGGCTGCACCCTCCCCTGCACGTCACGCCCTGTCCCTGCCGAGGTCGCCCTCCTCTGCTTAACCGCAAACCCAGCTGGCACCCACATGCTGGCTGGGGAGAGGGGGCCTCCTGCTGGTCTCTGCTCCACTTCTGGGTCACTGAGACCCAGGGAACCAAGGAAGGGACAGAGAGAGAAACAGCTGAGGTGACCACGCCTGCGAGTTGTAAAATCCGATTGCTGAGAGGACACTGGAGGTTGGCCCGCCCTTCATTATGCTGCAACGGAGGAGCCGGCGAAGTGCCCATCCACAGTCACGACGTGCGCTTTGACAAAGCCTCAGGGCTCCCGAGTCCTGGTTGCGTATTCACCCCGGCCTCTGCCCCAGTGGACAAGCACGTCACACCAACGCTTGACTCCAGTAGACGAAGGCAAGCACGATGCGGGCCCCAGGCCTGGGTCCCCCTGTGGGCCATGGCCAAGCCAGAGACACCTCGGCCTGGGCTGCCAGGCCCAGCTCAGCTCCCCGGGCAGTCGGGGTGGCAGCTGTGCACTTGGGCTTATCACACGTACGTATCTGTGCTCATCGAGGCCTCGGGAGGCAGACAACAACCCCTGAAGAAAGGTGGGGCCTCCCCAGCTGGGTGTTGGGCCTGGGCTGCCAGCACCATGTCATCCCAGGGACTAGGCCAGGGCCCCAGCAAGGAAAGAGGGAGGACAGTGAGTAGGTGTGGGGAACAGTGACCACAGGCCTTTCCACCTCCGAGAGGCCACCCCTCAGTAATGGCAGGGCCTTCCTAAGTCACGAGAGCCCGGCCAGGCTGGTGGTGAAGCCACACGCAGGAAGACGTCCACACTGGAGAGGTGTGCTCACGCTGTTGCGTAGCTATGCTATCCTAGCACGCGTGGGCTCTACGCTCCCTTGTCCGTGGAGCTGTATTATCTCACTGTGTTCTCCTGTGTTTGGAGAAGCGAAGGCGACATAGGGACTCTGGTTGGGCTGCTCCCTTGATACCTCCACTTGGACGGCTCACAGCACCAAACCCAACACACCCAAACTGGGCTCTCAATCATCTGCCCAACCACCTTCTTCCCAGTCTCCCCATCTCAGTGATCAAATGGCACAAACCGAAGACCTAAAGGGCATCTCTTGTTTTTCCTCCTCCTCTATTCCCCATAGTTGCCTGCCAGCAAGGGCTGCCATTCCGCCTCCTCAAGAGACTCCACCCATGTCTCACCACCTCCTCCCTAGGCCAGGCCACCCCTGTCCCTTTCTCGGATGACCACAACTGCCTCCTCGCTGTCTCTCTGCCCTCACTCTCGCCTTCATCTCTACTCTTTTTACCATGCAGCAGCCACGTGGTCTTTAAAATATGTAAATTGGGTCCGTCACTTCCATTACCCAAGCTCTCCAATGGCTTCCACTTGCACTCAGAATAAAGCCCCCCAGGTCCTCCCCAGGTCTAATCCGGACCTCACCACCTCTCCCACTTCATCGTCCATCCGTCTCTTTCGGTATGCTCAGACGACACTGGTCTCAGCCCTGCTCCTCTAACGAGTTGGGTGCTCTCCTGCCCAGGACATTGAAAACATCAGTGTCTGGTTTGGGATGTAAAAATGTTCTGAAACTAGTGGTGATGGTTATACCACTGTGTGAATATACTAAAAACTTAATTGTATACTTTCAGAGGGTGAATTTTATGGTGTGTAAATTATAGCTCAAAAAATTAGTTTAAAAAAATGCCTGGCGGGGGTAAGCCCAGTGAGTCTTTACTGGCCATAGCATGTTGGTGCCTTGGGTGCCTGGGTGCTAGTTTATCCGGCCCCAGCGCAGGAAGGATGGGACTGGGGCTGCAGAGGCGCCTCCCTGCTGCCCACTGCTGTGACTGCCTTTTGCCCTCGTGCTCAGAGAGAACCTCTGTTTATCTTTCAAGGCTCAGATCATCCATCCTCTTCATCCATCAGGGCTCCCTTCCTACCTGCATGGCGGCCCCTCTTCCTTTGGTAAGGCTGCCTATCCTTCCTCTCAGACTGTTTGAAAAGACAGACACTTTTTTTTTTTTTGAGACAGAGTCTCACTGTGTTGCCCGGGCTAGAGTGCCATGGCGTCATCCTAGCTCACAGCAACCTCAAACTCCTGGGCTCAAGCGATCCTTCTACCTCAGCCTCCTAAGTAGCTGGGACTACAGGCATGCGCCACCATGCCCGGCTAATTTTTTCTATATATTTTTAGTTGTCTGATTAATTTCTTTCTATTTTTAGTAGAGACGGGGTCTCGCTCTTGCTCAGGCTGGTTTTGAACTCCTGAGCTCAAACAATCCGCCCGCCTCGGCCTCCCAGAAAGCTAGGATTACAGGCGTGAGCCACCGCGCCCGGCCAGACAGACACTTTTGAGTTCAGGTTTTAGCTTCCTGCCACCTGAGGGACTTTGTGGGGAGCCAAGACTGGGACTCCCCAGAGCTCAGAGTAAGGTTTTGTTGAATAAGCACTTGCTGAATGTGTGGCTGAGAGTGCGTGCGTGTGTGTGTGTGTGTGTGTGTGTGTGTGTGTGTGTGTAAGCATCTGGCCTTTTAAAGCCCTCAGGTAAGGGAGAGGTCCAGGGGCCTCTCCAGGCTTCCATGGTCCCGTGACACCCCAGGTCAAACCTGCCTGCCCTCTGGGGCAAAGCCTGACATCCTGGGACTGGTCCAGACCCCTCAGGACTTTCCCAAGTTCATGTTCATGTGGGATGAGGCAGCCGATTTCCCTAACTCAGAAGCGGGTTGGACCAAGCTAACTGCTGTGTTACAAGCATCACAAACGGCCTGCTGACTCCTCCTCATCCGTCCAGCTAGCTCACGAAGGCAGGAAGGCTCTTGTGAGCTGGCAGCTCTTTGACTTCAAGGAGGGCCCGCTCTGATTTGGGCAAGGAGCATCGGGCTCCATCTGAATGGAGCAGTAGCCATCCAAGAGCCAAAGTGATGCCCCTTGACAGCCTTCCTGTTCCCTCTTCTGGCTGCCCCACCCTCGTAGCCCTGGCTTCCCCGGGGCCTGGGCGGACTAAGCCAATCCACCTTGGGATGAGTCAGAGGGGGCAGACACAACTGCCTGCCCTCCAGTCCCCTCCCCAGAGTGTGGTTGCTGCAGGTCTCCTGGGTTCCATGGGTAAACAAGGGTCCTGGGCATCTCTGCCTGGGAAAATATCCCCAGCAGGGGCCTCCTGGTCCCCCGTAGTGGCCCTGCTCACCTGTCCACATCAAAGGTAGGCTTTTGCCTGCCATGAACTGAATGGCATGGACTGTGTGTTGGTTGGGTGCACAGGATGTCAGCCTCAACATCAAACTCAGAATCCCCGAATTTTAGCGGGAAGGGGCTTAAAGATCATCTAGCTTAGCCCCACGATGGGAAAACTGAAGACTAGGGAGCTGCAGTAACTTGCTCAAGGTTGCACGACGTACAGCTGGGACTAGATGAAATCCCTGAACCCTTTGCACTGCTCTGCAGGCCGCTCTCCTGCTAGGCTGGAGGGACAAGAGGCAAGAACCCTCTAGGAAGCCAGGATTCAGAAAGGTCCTCAGTGCCTGACCAAAGGCTCCACTATCTGGTTCCCAAGCTGATCAGTTCATGGCCTGGTGAGGGCTGACAGGAGCCCGTGCGTGGGGCGGGACGGCCGTTTATCTGAGAGATTTCAGCACTTCTCCAGCCTCAGGCCCCATGCCGGTGCCAGAGAGAGGGTGCTCCTGTGGGTTTCTGCATGGCAGCCTCTCCCTCTCACCCTGCTAGGAAGTGCCTCTACATGGTATCCTGGCAAGGCCATCGCTCCCAGCACTCTGCCTCTCCTCTCAGTAGCGCCTCTGCACACACACACAGACATACCTGGCAAAGACGGCGCCCCATGCCCCCAAGCACAGGGACTGGGCCATGCGGGACACGTGACCTAAGCAGGGTCAGTTAGAATCCATCCTGTGGCTGTATGTATGCATGCAGAGACAAAGCGATCTCTTTTCTCTCAATGGTGGGCTGGGATGATGTAAACCTGGAGCTGTCTGAGGCCATGGCCTCCTCTTCCTACTCTGTTCCCCAAACATGGGAGAAGCCCATTTTACAGCAGGAAAGAATGAGGTCAACACACAGTGGGAGAAGGTGCCTTGATCCCTTCTCTGAGTTCCTGGACTCTGTCATGTCTGGGGCCAATTCTACCTCTGGACTTCCCAGTTTTATAAATCAATCAATAAATTCCTCAAGATAGATTTAAGTCAGTTCTAACCAAGAAAGTCTAGACCGACAAAACAGGAAGCACCAAATCCAAAGTGGACCTGAGAACGTCTGCACACGACGGCAGAGGCGGCAGGTGCTAGACCCCAGGCCCAGCGCCTTTCCCAAGCTTGAAAGAGGTTCAGAGTAGGGGTGCAGGCATCCCATGCTTCCCATGCCGGGCCGGGCCATATGCGAGGCAGAAAAAGCCTTGGAGGAGGTTCTAAGTTCTTTTATAGTAATATAATATTTACTAATGCCAAGTACCCAGTATGAGCTCGGTGCTGTCCTAGGCCCTGAGGCTAGAGTGGCAAACAGGCTAGACACAGCCCACGAAGCTCGAAGGCTGTTTGCCAACTACTTTTACATTGTATGGCTCTATCATTAACTAGCTGTTTGACTTTGGGCTAAATATTTAACCTCTCTGAGCTTCTCATAATTTATAAAATAGACTCCGAGACTGAGTTAGGGATCACGAGATAATGTCGAGCCCGGCTCCACAAGCAGCTATTGCTGTAACCCCCAGGAGAAGCCATCACCCCTGTTCTGCTCACTCCCAAGCTCACAGTTCCATGGGGAGGTCAAACCCACAGAGAAAGTTCAGCAGCGGTACGAGAGGTGAAGACTGACCCAAGGCTAGAACTCAGGAGATGCCACCAGACTACGGTTGGCTAAGACGTGGCCCAGGAGTGGGGCCCTAGCTGGGAGTGACACTACAGTTGGTGGGTGGCCAAGGAGGGAAGCTTCCTGGGAGAGATGGTGTGGGAGGAAAAGCAAGAACGGGATGTAAAGGGCACTGACTGTGGTCAGGGTGGAAAGATCCTTTGGGCCAGACTGGTGAGAACAAAGGCATTGTTCTGTGGTTCCACGGGGCGGAGGTCGTGACAGGATAAAGGTGCCTTAAGAGGCCACTGCTCTGGTTCAGGAGAGCAGGGATGGAACCTGAGCCAGTGATAGTCTTGAGGTGCAGGTGGAGTGGAAGAGACAGTTCTGCAAAAAATCCTGAAAGAAGACTGATCAGGCTGTGCAGACTCAGACTTATCAGCCATGGTGGCAGGGGAGACCAAGGAGCCCAACAGGCTGGGAGAGCAGGGGTACCCCTCGCCAACGCGGGACAGACAGGGTCTGAGCCAAGTTTTCATCAGAGGGTCCTAGGGCAGGGCGTGTTACAGTTCTCTTTAGGCCACGCTGGGTTTGGGGAGTATTGGAAGGGTATCTGGTGGAAAAACAGGCAGGTGACGACAGATATAGGATTAGGTGCTGTGACAGGGCAGACCGGAAGCAAGCCCCAGTAAATAGGTAGCCAAACGGCACGCTCAGTCTGTGAGAGCCGGAGGGGGAAAGCGATCTGTGGGATTCGGAGCACTCAGGCTGGGGTGGAGGGGCACTACGTGAGGACAGGCAGCTTTGGCAGAGAGGAGAGGCGACTTCCCAATCAAGGGAAAGAACCAGGGCCTGAGACGACAGCCCGGCAGGAAGGCGGCCTCTGCTCCAAAGCTGGATCTGCTAGTGTAGAGGCCAGAAGCTAAAAGGTGCGTGAGGTCCCGACCTTGCGCATCTTTAAGGAGAGGGGACGCCCTGTGGGGGAAGGGTCTGCCTTCCCTGAACAGGGGCTGCCCCCAGGGTCCCAGGCACCCAAGCCTCCCACCCTGGCACGCAGGTGTCCGGCAAGGCAACCGGCAAAGGCAGTCTGCGTGCACACGCCCCGGGCCTGCCTCTCCCCCCAGTCCCACTCCTGGCAGGCCAGCCTCCTATAATTGCCTTCTAAAAATATCCGTCCCCCCACCCCCACCTCTTGATTTCAAAATATTTAGTTTTCAAGGTATTTAAAATGAGAGCTGGCGGCTCTTCCAGGCCTAGATAACAAAGCTAAACATTTATGCTTCGACTGCATTTCTCTGAATCGGCTGAGATCTAGGGCTTGATACAGCAGCAGCAGGAGGGAGAGGAGTTGAGTGCAAGATGAATTGTGTGCGGCCCCAGGGCTGGGGGGCAGCTGGCCTGTCCTGCCAAACCCCTCCAGGATCCTTCCCTTCGTTGGGGGCCCACCTACCGCTGTTGACGTGGAGCCGGCCCCGGACGGTGTCCTTCCCCAGGATGTTCTCGGCCTCGCAGACATACTCCCCAGCGTCCTCCACCTTCACCTTGTTGAACTGCAGTCGTGAGTTCTTTCTGGTTAGGGAGGGGATGAGGGGGGGAGAGGCGTGAGCCAGGGCTGGCTGTGGCTCCCCAGCGTTCACTCAGCGGTCACCTCTCCCCACAGAGCACAGTGGCTGTGCAGGCTGGATGGGAGGTAGACCCCTCAGCACAGCCAGTTCTGGGGTCCGGGTGGAACGCAAGTCCCTGCACTGCAGTGAGACCCGAGCCCCCAGGACAACACAGGGTGAGGCTCATGGCTACTCACGCCCACTTGTCTAGGGCTGGACCTTCTTTGTAACAGTTTTCTGCGGGAGGAAAGCCAGGCCCCTTAGGAAGCCACAAGGCCACTTCCCTCATGCCCAGCACCTCGGCCTGTCACTGCAGACACGCAGGGCCTATTCCCAGGTACCCGGGAGAGCCGCTGTCTGACAGGTTCTCATGGCAACTGTCCAGACTCCTCCACACCCGTGGCTCTCCCCTGCCTCCAGATCAGCCTTGCCACTGAGGGGCACTCTGTGGCCTCTTCGAGGGTATTTGTTTCATTTATTCACTCATTCATTCATTCACTCATTCAACAAATATTGACTGAGCACCTTCTGCGTGCTAGGAGCTTGTATACCTCAAGGAACAAAAAGATCCTGGACTTGATCCTCAGGGCCAGTCTGGGCGTTCTCTTCTTACGTATGGGAAAACTGAGCCCTAGTGGGGCTGCCTGACTTGGCCAAGGGCACCCAGCAGGGCAAAGGCAGAAGTGGACCAGGAGCTGTAGCTGGTGAGGACGAGCGCTACCTCTAGGAGCCTGGAGCTGGGGCTAGCCCTGTCGGGAGGCTCTGCACACAGGCCCTGCATGCTGAGAGCTGTGGGGCCACGCGTGGGCACGGCCCCCCAGTGCTGTGACTTCAGGGCAACTGGCCCCGGTTCCCCTTTTCTTTCTGATGCCCCACCCAAACCTCTCCTTCCTTCTCAGAGTTTCCAGCACCTACCCCAGGATGCTTAGGCTCTGCAAGGGTCTGTTCACAGCTTCCACCCCTCCCTCCACCCCCGTGCTCTCCAGGGGCCAGTATGAGCTCAGGATAAAGCCCAGGACCCCAGCCTAGCCCCCGGGGGAAGCGAGAAGTAACATGAACATTCCTTCATATAATGTAATCTCCTCCTTTTAGTGCCGAATAAAAAACCAGATTCCCAGGCTATGCGCAGTAGGTTGACGGGGTCGTGGCACATGAGGGAGGGCAGTGGAGCTGTCACTGCCCTGAGCTGCAGGGACATAAAGCTGAGCTATAAAGCTGAAGGGGCAAGGAGGACAGGGGGAGGTAAGCAGAGAGGCTGGGCAGGGGTCACGGAGACACACACTGGCCCAAATAGCCACCTGGGCTCTGTCTCCACCTCTGGGGTGAGCCTCTTCCCAGACACCCTCACCCCAAGATCCTCCAAACAAGGGTGCTATAAGGGTCTTGTCAACAGACCCTGTTGCCGTGGTGATGTTCTCACTGACATGGCAACAGCTGCTTGACTATACCATACCCTTCCTGGCACGAGCTGGTCTGTCTCCTTGGCCTGGTGCCTGCCCACAGCCTTCTGTCAATTAGAGTTTGTTCCCTTTATTAAACAGAGCCCTGGAGGCCCCTCTGACTGAGACATCATCTCCTTCCCTTCTCCAGCCTAATTAGATGCCACAAAACCCAGCTTCCCTGGGATAAGGTTTCTCTCACTTCCCCATACACCAGATGAGCAGGGCGGTGGACCACCTGAGGGTCAGTAGTCACTGCTTGGGGGACCCAGAGCCAGATCCTCCTTGTCACCCACAGCTGAACTCAAAGGAGCTTCCCTTACACATATCAGATGCAGCAGGACAAGGCAGGGCGAGGCTCACAGGGTATTTGAAAGGAGAAGGGCCAGGATTTTAAGGAAGGGCTCGTCACTTGAAGGTGTGTGAGGCCTGTAGAAAGGAGGCGCAGGGCTCTGGGAGAGCCCCTCCCCTTTGAGGAACAAGAAAGAGGCAAGGGGACAGAAACGAGGACCCCGAGGTTTGCAGGCTGCTGGCATCTGGTTTAGCAGCTGCTTGGTGACCTCAGGGAGGCAGGCCCCAGAGATGAACAAGGGGGTGCAGGTAGAGCTGAAGGGTGGGGCTCCCTGGGAAAGCCGGGCCTGCTGCCTTCTCTCTCCACACTCCTAGCTCCAGCTGGAATCCCTAGGGACTCAGGACTCTCCTGCCTTCCTGGCAGGCTGGGCGCTGCCCTGTGCTCCGCGTGCCCCATCACCGCACTGACCCGGGTCTGCCCTGCCGTGGCTGCCCCTCCCTTCCTTCCCCAGCTGCTTCTCTGCTGGCAGGGATGGATCTGGAGGCTGCATCCTCCATGTTTTCCTTAGCGCCTGCCCCCCCTGCCTGCTTGAGGGGCCTGTTCCAGCCTGCCCCTCATAAATAAGGGAACATGCGGTTCTGCAGGGGAGGGCCCTGTGCCCAGGGCTTGGGGGGCAGTTTTCTCCTGGCACAGGGAGGCTTGGGTGAGATGTCTCAGTGCAGCAGGCACAGAGACAGACAGCACCCATTGGGGAGGGGGTCTCTGTGGGCCAACAGAGATGCCCTGAGTGTGGCCTGGGCAGGCAGAGTGCTAGGAGGCCAGGCCCAGCTGCCATGCAGGCAGGGAGCACAGAGGAGATTTTGCCAGAAGGGAGACTCCTGCCCCGTCCCCGGCCCCTGTGCCAGGTGAGGTGTGTATAGTGTGTGGGCGGGTAGTATATGGAGGTGGCAGCTCTCTCCAAGTCACTCCAAGGGCACCTTGGTCACAGGGAATCAGAAGTTCCCTATCTTCCACCACTAACAATTCCCAGCTGAGAGCCAGGGGCAGGACAGGTAGAATAAGGAAGTTTCAGGATGCAGCAAATGGGGTAGGGCCCTGACAGGTAGCGGGCAGAGGGAGCTTCAGGCTCTTAGGGGTCCATAATACCCAGGAGAAGAAGACGGGACCAGGCCCTGTTTCTGGATTGGGTAACCCATTCATCAGAGGAAACTGAGGCTCCTCCAGGACAGTATCTTGCTCAGGAGGCTAGGACAATCCCAAGGGCCTCCTGCCCAGCTCTGGTGGGACCCGGCACCCCAGAGAAGAGGATCATGGAAGATTCTCATCAACTCAGCACTGCATATAGAGCTATCTGCCAGGCCCTAAAGGGGAGAAGGGGTGTATGCTCGCAGGGTCCCCACCTTTGAGGCTCTCTCATGCTAGGAGAGACAAAGTCCTCAACAATGCAACGAAGCCATGTCTAAGGCACCCAGGGAGGAGACAACGATAGCTGCCTGCAGGGCTGAGGACACCATCCCAGAGATATGACATTTAAGCTGGGTCTCGGAGAACTTTGCCAGGGACGAGAAGGGAGGGGAGCTGCCAACACAGGGAACAGCCTAGGCCCAAGTCCAGGGTCACGAAAGGAAAGATCAGTGGCAGGAAGTGCAGCAGTGTCGGGGAACAGCGGGGCAGTGACTTGTAGGCCAGGAAGAGGAGAGTCGGAAGAGCCCCAAGGCTGTGCCTGGCACACGGCAGGCTCTCAAGATCTGTCAGGTCATGAATGGAGGATCAGATACGTGTCCATGTTAGGAGGATCGTTCCCCTTCAGGCACTTACGGAGGTGGTTAGTGACTGTGGACCTCTAGAACTGAAAGCAAACTGGGTGCATAGGCCACATTTTTTCTGTAGAAAGGGTTGAGGTTTCTACCAGATTCTATACTGGAAGTTAGACTAGAGGCTCGTAAAGGTATGTCTATTTTGTTTGCTGGTGTATCCTGAGCATCCAGCAGAGTGCCTGGCACATAGTTGATACTCAGTAGAGTTAGTTAGATACAGAAATGAATTTGCAAAGGGGCCTGTGGCCCAGGAAAGGTGGGGAGTAGCCAAGATTGGGACAGGGAGGAAAAGACGCCAGAGGAGAGCAGATGAGACACGTGCAGGGCAGGGAGAGGGGTGCCTCTTTCCAGAGATGTGTACCCCGCTCCCTCCGAGGGATGGCAAGGGGGAAGGTGTTGAGCAGCAGGGAGTGTGGCTATGCCACAGCTGACAGGGAACACGGAGGGAGGGGAAGAGGCTGGCTTGGGCATTCTGAATCAGAAATGTCTGTAGGGCATCTCGGGGGTGGTATCTCCTGTTTGCTGGCAGCATGGGTCTGGAACTCAGGTAAAAAAGCCATCAAGCCTGGAGATGGAGACTTGTAGTCTCAGATACTTAAAACAATGGGAGAGGGTGAAGTCATCCACAGGTGGAGATGGAGGAAGGAGAGCAGTGAGGCCCAATGTTCGGGAAAGTTCCAGCATTGATGGCAACTGAGAGAGAATGGCCGGGCTCACAGGAGGACGAGGTAGAGCACCGCAGGGCCAAGGGTGGGGGGATGGCCCATGCCAAGGCTGCCGAGAGACCTGGAGGCACGAGACCAGGGGACTCAGAGGTTGCTGCGGTTCCTCAAGGGCGGCAGCCACAGAGAGGCTGGCGATGTGTTTAAGAGGCAGATTCCGGCAGGGCAAAGAGTGAGGGGAGGGTGAGCGAGTGTGGACTCGTGGGCATGAAGCGAACTCCCTCCTGACTCCACGTGGTGGTAGAGGGAAGAAGCTAGATGAGGCAATAGCTGGAGGGCACGGGAACAGCAGCATGGAGGGATGCCATTTGAAAAGAAAAGCCATGGGTGTGGGTGTGTTGGCAGGGAGAGAAAGCTGAAGTTACCAGGGAAGGGAGTGAGTTGGTGGTACCAGGGCTCTGGAGGGGGTGTGTGTTCATGTGTGTGCGGGAGTGTGAGTGTGTGGGGCAGGGCGGGGGTGGGATGAGGATGGGCAGGCTGTGGGCATGTTTGCAGTAAGGAGAGGGAAAGGAGAGCCCTCCCTCCTGATTTCTGCAGTCTCAGGGAAGTGGAGGGCCAGAGGGAGAAGGGCCCCAAAGGTCCAGCTCTGAGAAGCCTGTCCGTTACTTCTCTCTAGCTTGGAGCTGGTCTTAGCAGGGCAGCTGGAAGGGGTGGGATGGCCTCAGAAGGTGAGCTGAGTGGGCAGCTTGAATTTCTTGCCAGTACTGTATAGATCTGGGACACACCGTACCCCACCCCACCCCACTGGCCCCTGCAATTTCCTTAGGAAGCAGCATTCTTTCAGCCACAGATCTTTGATCTAAACCAAACCCTTCCTAAATTGCCTAAAGTGGTCTGCCTGGACCACTTTCTAGGGTGACCAGCTCTGTCTTTGCACCGCACTCTTGGAAGGAGAGTCAGACCTGGAAGCAGCTCCCAGTCTGCTGACCCCCACATCCTCCTTCACAGGGTCCAGAGACTAAGGCCCAGAGGCAGGGCGTGGACATCCAGGACTACAAGCAAACCAGGAGCCGCTGAGCCCAGGCCTTCTTTCCATCACTTTCTGTGGTGGGGCAGGATGGGTGTTCTCTAAAGTCATCTTCATTGCAATTTTTTTTTTTTGAGACCGAGTCTTGCTCTGTTGCCCAGGCTAGAGTGCAGTGGTGTCATCATAGCTCACTGCAGCCTCAAACTCCTAGGCTCAAGGGATCCTCCTGCCTTTGTCTCCCAAGCAGCTGGGACTACCTGCACGATGCTGGCTAATCTTTCTTTTTCTTTCATTTTTTTTTTTTTTTTTTTAAGTAGAGACGGGGTCTCGCTCTTGCTTAGGCTCGTCTCAAACGCCTAAGCTCAAGCAATCTGCTTGCCTTGGACTCCCAGAGTGCTAGGATTATAGGTGTGAGCCACCTTGCCTGGCCTTCATTTACATTTTACAGCAGGGGGTGGGGGGATGAGGAGGAAAATCACAGCTGTGAAGGGGGTGGTTGTAACCCACTCTGGAGGGGCAGAAAAGGCTGGAGTGCGCCTCAGTCAGAGCAGGGAGACCACCTGGTGCCTAGAGCCAACAGAGCTGAGATCAGGCCGAACGTCTGTTTTGCTGGGAGGCAGAAGATTTTCTCCTCATTTGTCCTCGAGAAACAGGAGTGACCTGCCCTTGGACTGACTCCTGGCTTCTCTGGTGCCTGAAGCCCCTGCCTGACCAACCCAAGATGGAAGAGAGGTCATCTTCCAAAGCCTGGGGACTTGGGGACTTCTGATTCACTTCCCTGGACCGTCGATTCAAGATTAAAGACAATTCTCATGCCACAGGAGGAAACTGTCCGAGCTACAGACTTCCCCAACACCAATCAAAGCTATGTTCCCTTTTCCCTTACTTAGCTCTCTGACAAGTGACAGCTTGCTAAGCTGAGAAACCAGCCCACTAACTGTGACCTCCCAGAGACATTCTGGCTAGAGTCAGGGTCTTTCCCCAAAGATTGCCGAATGATGGGGCTTTCAGACACTGTGGGAGGTCCTTTGAGAAGAAGTTTTAGGGACAAGCAGAGGCTTCCACTGGTAAAGCTGACCTTGACAATCAAATTGCCTTCGACCATCCTGAGATATCAATTGCTTAACTCTTGTCTACGGTCTGCACGACACTGGGCCAAGATAACCAGAGGGGCCCACAGCTGCAGGGAGAAGGCTGGGAGTGGCAAGGAAGGGGAGTGTGGAGAAGGGCTGGGACTGGTTCCATGGGAGGGTTTGGGGATACAGTCCCGGATCCTGCCCCACTCTCGGGAGGAGGGCGGGCAGCTGATTGGATGGAGGGCGGCCGGATGTTGCTCACCTGCCGTTGCCATACTTGATGCGAATGTCTCGGCTGCGGTTGAGCTCCTTGCCGTCCTTGAACCACCGGTAGGAGGGCTGGGGGTTACCGGCTGCAGCCTCGCACTTCAGTGATTGCTTCTCACCCACCTGTCCCGTCTGGCTCTTCATCTTTTTCAGCTTGGGCCGGGTGGCTGTGGGGTACAAGGTAGGTGGGTGAGCGGGGTGGTGGTGGGGCAGTGTCGAGCATGAGTAGTCGGGTAAGGGCCACTGTCCTCGGGCTGGAACTGGGGAGGGAAGGGGTGAGCCTGGGAGATGCCCCTCCTGGTGTCATTTTTCCTGGTTCAATTCAACAGAGGGTCTGCAGTGATATCAGTGTAGCAACTACTTCTGGAGAGTTCCTTCCTGCCTGGAATGGTACTAGAAGCTTTACATTAGCTTATGAAACCTGCACAATAACCCCGTGAGTTCACTGCAGTGATTAAACCTACCTATAGATGGGAAAACCAAGGCTCAGAATAGTAAAGTCACTTCCCTAAGGGGAGGTGATGGAACTTGGATTCAAACCCAGATCTCCTTGACTTCAGTGTCATCATCTCAAATCACGGGTATAAGGCATGGGGCTGCACTGGTGGGCACAGGCCCAATCGCAGATGCAGAGCTTTGAATGCCGAGCTGAGAGGCTTTTCCCATTTTTCTTAAACACCATTCTATTTGCACATGCCCTAGTATCCCGTGCTTCACCTCTGTGTTCCTCTCCTCACCAGATTTAAAAAAAAAAAAAAAAAGGAAAAAGTACGCTGTTCACAGGAAGGTAAGGGCAAGCCCGTGCTTCCTACCGGGATGCGTAATAATTTCCATGGTATAGCCTTTTACAGGATACACAATGCCTTCATGTATGCTCATTTTGTCCCTGAGCTCTGTGAGACAAGGGTCACACTGACATAGATGGTGAAGATGAGACTCAGAGAGGTCAAGAAACTTGACCAAAGCCACATAGCCAGGCAGCCACGGAGCTGGCACCAAAGCCCAGGTATCTGGGTTTGCAATGTGTCAGGCTGGTGGCAGGCTGGTGTCTACTTTTGCAGCCTCATCTCTCTTTCGGAGATGATTAAAATCCTTCCAGTAGCAGAAGGGAAGGTCTGCTGGAGCCAGGGAATTGTCTTGGGACTGACTGGCCCTGTTTAAACTACTGGTCCTTTGCTTGGCAACTCAGAGCTCGGATGCTGGACCAGAGCTGGCTCTGGAGAAAGGGAGGCAAGAGGGCCTGGCTGGACATAGGTGTCCCCTCACTGAACTCAACCCTGAGCTGCTCCTTTTAAGCAGGGAGTAGATGAAAGTTGGGTGCAGGGAACAGAGGGAGCATGGAGAGAAAGCCTTTAAAGATGTATTACGTAGGCTTACATAATGATTCTTGTGAAATAATTTGGTTCATTTTAGAAAATTAAAAAATACAGATGGGTAAAAAGAAGAAAACAAAACCATTTATTATCCCAGTACTCATAAATAACACCCCCCCTCCAATTTTAAACAAAATGAGATTCAGTGCCAATAATATGTTTCTTTCACTTAATGAAACAATGTAACACTTTTACCTGGGTGTTAAATATTAATAACAGCATTTCCCAAACTGATTTTTATAAGACATGAGTATATAGAGAGATGAAAATAGATATTACTTGAGAAGAAGATTCCATGAGCAAATGACTTTGGAGAGCATGTGGGTAAACACAGTTAAAGAAGTATCTTTATTCACTTTAGTATCACTCTCTAAGGGCCTTGAAACTTTTTTTCTTGGAACACTTAAGTAGCATTTCAAGGAAATAAAGGTATATGGGACAAGTTCTATAACATAACTTATATGTGTATATATTTATAGATATATATTTTAAGAAATAATACATTAACATGATTCAAAATTCAAGAAGTGAAAAGGGTATATGGCTTACAAAAAAATCTCCCTCTAACTTCTGACCACAGCCACACAGCTGCCTTTCCAGGAGGCAACCAATTTTATCAGTTCCTTTGATATCTTTTCAGAGGTCTTTTATGCATATACAAAAAAAAATACCCAGTAGTCACACACACATTTTTTTCTGTAGCATTATATTTCATGGCTGCATAATATTCCTGCATGGGTATGCCATCATTTATGTAACTGATTCCTGTTGTGGGGCATTTATCATGCCCCTGCTCCCACCCTCCCGTTACAAACAACCCCACGGGGACATCCTTGCAGCTTCATCTCCGCACACATCCAGTGTCCCCTGCTGTATGGGAAGTATGGCTCTAGACTCACACTGCCTGTGTTCAAATCCAGGCTTTGCTACTTATTAACTTTGTGTCTCCAGGTCATTGACTTAATTCTTTAGTGCCTCAGTTTCCTCAGCTGTAAAACACAGGTGATAAATAATAGCTTCTACCTCATGGGATGATGGCTGTGAGGATTATATGAGATAATGCATGTAGAGCCTGGCACGTAGAGAGCATTTAATAAAGGTTAGCTATTCTTGTTATTATTATCCACAATTATTTCCTAAGGCAATCTTCTTAAAAGTGGAATTGCTGCGTCAAAGGGTATGCAATCTTCCTCAGCTTTGCACGTTGCCAAATTGCCCTCTGGAAAGGTTGCACCAATTCGCACTTCCCCCAGTGAATGACAGGGCCTGTTTTTTCCACACCCTCACCAACACAAGGTATTATCGTGTCTTTAATCTTTGCCAATTAGCTAGGCAAAAGATAACGTCTCTTTGTTGTTTTAATTTGCATTTATTTGATTACTGATGAGGCTGAACATTTTTCATAAGTGTATTGGCCCATTGTATTTCTTCTTTTTGAATTGCCTGTTCATGTCTGCAGTCTGTTTTCCTCACCTTCTTACTGATTTGTAAGAGCTCCTTATAAATATTAAGGCTATTAACCTTTTGCTACAATGTCCCCCCCCCCCCCCCCAGTTACCTGCTTCTCACATTTTATAATGCTGGCTTTTTTTTTTTTTTTTGGCATCCCGAGGTTTTATGCGTATTAACCTATCAACCTGTTGGGCTTTCCGGAACTTCATTATTCTAAGTGTGATTGAAGTCCTGCCTCAGCTTCCTTTCCTTACCCATAACCGCTCCCACCTTCGTGTTGCTCCTTATCGCAGTCCTTAACACTGGATGCTAACGAGAATCGCATGGGAAGCTTTAAAACTTAGGTAGGTGCCTGGGACATACCCTAGGCCTTCTGAAGCACAACCTGTGTGTGTGGGTCCAGGTGTGTGGGCTTTAAAGGGCTCCTCAGGCGTCCTTCTAACTTTTTTTTGGCAATAGAACATACATGCAGGAGAGTGCACATGTAAGTGCATAGCTCAATGACTGGTTACAAACTGAACACATATGCACAGATGGCTTTGCTATAAGGTTGGGTTGACATCTGGTGATGGGTGGGGAACCTGTGGCCTTAAGGACACGTGTGGCCTTCTAGGTCCTTAAGTGGGGCCCTTTGACTGAATCCAAATTTTACAGAACAAGTTCTTTTATGGAAAGGGGTGCAGTAGAGAAAGATGAAGCTTTTCTTTGCCTCCTTTGGTACTTAAAAAAGAACAAACTTGAAATCAGAAGGCCACAGGTTCCCCACCCCATCGCCGTTCTTGTGAACTGGGGACAGAGAGAGCTCTTCTCAGGTTCTAAGTGTGCCCTTCCCCCACTTGGAGTGTGTCGATCTTTCTTGCAATTCTGAAACAAGGGAACCCTCTGCCCCCACCACCATGGACTGCCTCCCTCCCAAAGAACCAGGGTGGGGATGGGGGTGATACTTGGTGGGAGGAATGAGGCAGTGGTCACTCTACCACCTTGTTTCCTGATGTGAGTTCTGCCGCAATAATGTGCACTGAGCCTGTGGCGGTAATGGGCCAGGTGGGTGTGTTACACAGAAACAGCAGGCACGACCCCAGTTCAGATGGCCTGAGGAACTGGGGGCTCCAAAATCATTCCCTGCCAATAACATAAAACACAGGCCCACACACCAGATCACAAGGAACCCATTCCATCTAGTGAGAACCTGCTGTGACTCCGTAGCCACTTCTCGATAGTCCACTCACTTCAGAACAACCCATCATTCATTAATTCACTCATTCATTCATTCAACCATGCCAGGCACTGTTCTGGGCCCTGGGTATACCACAGAGATAAGCATCCTGCTCTTACAGAGCCTGAATTTTAGTAAGAGGGATAGACAATAAGCAAATAAGCAACAGGAAATATGAGACAGTAATCGGTGGCTGGATAATGGCCCTAAGGTGGGAATGAACACGGTTAGTTCACGGGACTAAAAGAAGCCTATATGGATGGAGGATAGTGGAAGGCGGGAGCTTGAAGAGGTAGGCAGGTCCCAGCTGACATGGGGCTGTGCAAGCCAGGATGAGAAGTCTGGATTTGTTTTGCATGTTTTTTTTTTTTAATTTTTTATGTGCCTACTAGAAAATTTTAAATTATATATGTGGATTGCATTATATTTCCATTGGACAGCACTGGTCTAAAGGATGACAAAATAAAAATAACCACATATTTGAATCATGCCATGTTCTTTACAAGGAGTTTTCTTTTATAGCTCTAAACAGTTCCTCACAAGAATTGTCTGAGATGCTAAAAGCCCTGTTTCCTACTCTAGCAGCTTCTAGTCGTGGTCCTTGCTCATGGACATCCTAGTTCACAGCTATTTGAAAGCCAGGGTTGGGCAAAACTTGTAGCCTGTTTTTTGTTTTTCCATCAGGAAAGATCCTTGGGGGCAGGGGGTAGGGGGCAGTGGCAGCAGCTCGGATGGCAGGAAAGAGAAGAATCCATGCCAGATGGCCTTGGAACAATGCCCAGAGGACCTCCATACCCTCACTCCTGGGCCCAGAGCCCTGCCAGGCTTTCCTCAACAAGGACTGGCGTGACCTTCTTAAGATGGCACTGGATTTGTTTTGTAGGTGTGACGGGATGGGAAGGCATTAGAGGCTTACAAGCTGGGGGTGACCTGGTCTTACTTTCTGCATTTTAAGCTCATTCCTACCCTGAGCCACGATCGTTCTCACCATGTGTCTTCCAGCCATCAGATCCAGTACCAGCCCCTGGGGTCACCTGGGACAAGGCTGAGAGGCTGTTTGCACAGCAGACCTTTGTGTACCTGGAGACAGCTCTCATGGGGCCTCAGACCTGACTGGGCTAGCTCC